AAAAGGAAATAATTAAAAGTGTTAACTGTCCAAATAGCCATCTAGTGCAATCAAAACTATGTTTCAGAAGATTTACCCCTAATTTCTGATCATGTGCAACATTTCCCTTATTTTTGAAGTGACCATTCACTCTTTGCCTGTATCATCTGTTTGACTTCATTATCTCTCTGCTCATGTTCATTTGACAAAGCTCAGAGTGAAAGTCTCTCTCTTTTTCCCTCCCCATTATATTAATCACCATCAACTAAAGTTGAGACAGATCTACCAGCTGGCTAATGGAGGCCCAGTCCCTGCTTGCACGCCACTGCACACATGAATATCATTAATAACTTCATTAGCACTTCCTGACTACAGCCGACACTACAGTGGATTAGATTGCCAACTGGATTGTGTGCATGTCTGTGTGTAAGTGAGTGGGAAAAGGCGGGGGGGGGGGGGGCTTCTTCACTCTTGATTGCACACCACTTTCTAGATTCAGAGGAACTCATCTCCTCCAATTCCAGCCTTGCTGTGTGATTGAAACAGTGTCTGGCTCGGACACCCCATGCTCAGAGTCCCACCAGGCGTATCACTGTACAGTAACAGTACCCCTATTAAGATTCAAAAAGAGCTTGATCAAAGATAGACATTGTGCCCACTGCTCCGAGTCAAAGTGCATTATAGCGCCGGCTTGTGTTTTACCATGTAACACAAAGCACTTAAACATCAAACATATGTAAATATTCTGTTTAATTGTACAATCTCAGGCCAATCTCAACCGGAGTGAATTGTCAAAACTGTCTCCTCTCATATTGCACGGATTGACATAAAAAATCTGGAATATATAGTGGTCTTCGCTACTTCCACAAACTGAATAATAATCACAAAGGCACTGAACGATCTGATTATTCCCTTGTGAGGAAATGTCATTCATGTCCATGATTGCATGGAGGAAACTTTTCAAACCTTGCAGAGCAGCATGGTCTTTATCAGTACCTTGCATTAGTTTAGGGGCCTCCCCAGTCCAACTGTGGGTCACCACACTCCTCCCAAGGCTATGCTCTACCTTTGAAGACAAAGAGTCTATAGTCCAATTTTTTTTCCGGCCACTGTTAATGGATAAGTCTAGTGATTGTATATTACATTCTATTACATTTTTCAACAATTGTCAACAATTCCCATGAAAAGACCAAAACCAACAACGAAGTGATTCTACTCACACTTTATTGCCAGTGTAGCCAAAGTCTGATTCATCTTATTCTGCTGTGCTATAGACCTGTATTGTTATCAAAAAAAATTTAAAACACATAAATTAGCCACATTGTTTCACTCAATATGCACTGTAATTTAGTCTATCCCACATACACCATCCTGCTGCTGTAAATACTCATCTGCACAGATCTGCAGATGAAAACCCCAATCTCCAACCGATACACCATTTACTCCTCTTTGAGTAACTAGCAAAAAACAGTGTCCAGCTTTTGAAGTAAATTATTTATCCTTTTTAGAAAATGAATGTACATATTCTGTCCAGGGTGTGCCCCGCCTTTCGCACAATGTCAGCTGGGATAGGCTCCAGCCCCCCGCGACCCTGTACACAGGATAAGCAGTTGACGATGGATAGATGGATAGTGTACATATTCATGACCAGTTTTATAAAAAAGTATGTTTCAGCAGGGAAAAAAAAGGCTAGGGCTGAGGGTCTCAGACAGGAAATGGAAGTCAGAAAATATTGGGAGTTGGACTAACACAATGTTGTTTTTGGTCTTTTCATCTGATTTATTGACAATTACAAAAATATTGTAAGCGGTTAGCGGTAACATACTTACTGTAGTTGTCCAGTCTTCCCACACAGTAAGGTACTATTGCAGACATTTCGGCTGTGCTCAGTATCAGTTTTATCTGGATATAATGTTAGCTTGTTTGCAACCCATCTGTTGTCTGACCACTTGTGTTTCTTGCTGAACTACCTTACATACTAGGAATGCCATGTTTCACGATCTCCGAATACACTGATGAGTAAGTGACCAAATCTACAAAAATATTGTAACAGGCTATAATTATCCTTTAATATCATAGAACATGAAAATATACTTACTTTCACTGTATTTGGATTTGTAGAATGTATGTACTACTCACTTGTTTTTCTCAATATTTCTCCATCTGGTATTTCCACATGTGTCAGCAGGCATTTTAATGCAAACTACTAGAAATATACCGCTGCTAATGAGATTATCTTTTCCCTGAATGCTTGAAAGATTTTGAGAAAGATAAAAATCAAGATTCAGTGATCCAGTAAATTATACTGACTGAGTGTGCACCAGATTTCCTACCCATATACATCAATCTTTGCTGCGTCCAGGCCAATTCACACCTTTTAACAGAGCAGACCCCAGAGCCATAAACAGCTCGACTCTGCAGCTCACTGCACATGTAAACTCCACTGCTCGAGCTTCCTTCTAATCATACGGGTCAGATAGAAGTTCAGTGAGTATTATTCATATGTGCCAATTTACACTGAGCTCCTTCCTTTGCTTCATGTTTAGTTATCACGCAGGGTTAGAATTTACTCTTTAGCCATGTGTTCCATCATGACAAATACTCTGTGGTCTTTACACAGAAAAAAGTGAATACAGATGTCTTTTAAATGTCAAAATGAGAACAAGAGCCAAAACACCATTACAAAGAAGCTCCATGAGCTCTTTTTGATTTATTATGCCTGTTTCCCCTTAAATCTCAGTTGAGCAAAACTTTTTTTTTCCTAGTTGGTAATTCTTTCACTTGAGCCATCTCGGCTGTTTCAAATTCAAATCCCGCCTACCTTGCCTTTTCTGGCTTTGTCATTGGGGGAGACAGCTCTCTGTTGGTGAAGCATGGGCCGGCTCACCAAAGAAAATTAATGGTGATGCCATTGCAAAGCGACACCAGGTGCCCAGTGTGCTGATTCAGCCGGTGTGGGGAAGGAGGGGTGAAGGGAAAGAAGGAGTGATGCAGGAAGGGACAAAACTGTCTCCGTGCAGCAGCCAAAATATCTTCTGCACAGCTCTGTGACAGAGGGAAGGCTTTGTCTGAACAGTCTCGCCAGACTTTTAGATGCAAAAACAAAACACAGATACACAAGTGGGAGGTTTGATTTCAACTGACGATAAGGGGTTTACAGTAAAATACCCTGCAAATGCTTCTATAAATATCCTTCTTGCGAATGAGTCCTATTTTCCTTTACAGTCCAGTTTCCAGTTCTTAAAGATCCTTGACCTTGCATGACCCTTGAGCATTCCTCAACGATGGAAGTAATTGTTCTGGCCTTGGAGTAGGACAATACATGTTTGTCATCTCTCGGAGCAGTTTGTGTGTGTGTGTGTGGGGGGGTTAAGATATATGCAGTAATCGTATTGTGCAGTGACTACCGTTGATTGCTTCATAATGTAAGTTCTTTGAGGTCACTTACTGTAAGGGAAAAGAGTATGTTGTTCTGTGCAAAAATCCACATCTCTGACCATCAGTTAAACTCATGTCTTTCCTGTTGTTTTCTCAGCTTTTTTTACAGCACTGACATGTGAAGAATATTGTATTTCATTGACTTTGCAAACGAAATGTCCTCCTGCCTTTGAATTATGGCACCGCATGCCCACACAACAGATTTTGCAAGTGCAGAGCAGTCGAGTGTGGATGATAATGGTGGTTTGAAGTGTGAGGCCAACATGATCGTTTCATAAACAGAAAAGCAGCATTTGTCATGGCTGCTTTTGACAGCTCATGACAGCATTTGATGAATAACACATGCCGTGTTGAGTAAGAGAACCGCAGCAGGGCTGTGGGGATGGCTCAACAGACAGTCTGAAACAGCAAAGATCTTCTGGGGAAGCTGGACAGATAAAACCCTCAAGTAGAGACAATCCAAGAGCACTGACAGGAGTCTTATGCAGTAATGCCCAATCAAACAACAGGACCAAGTCACATGAGGTATGCATTAGATGGCACTTGCAAAAATCACTTGTGCGCTGTCACATGCAAACGCACGGCCCAGACAAATATATGCATATATGACGGCAAAACACAAATGTACATGTGTTTGAGCCACAATTTTATTCACACTGCATGCATTTGTATCAGTACAGCAGCAACAAAACAGGATTCCTGCTATATTTTGATATTTGAATCTGCAGCCAACTGTTTTTCATTTGCACTGGCTGGGGTGAGTAAGTTGAGTCCTATGACCGAAAATAGGCAGCTTATTTGAGTGTGTTATCAGGGCCTGCCCCACAATCTTGTTAAGGCACGTCTGCCAGTCTATCTAAGCCTATCACTGTGCTCCGAGGGAGAACAAACAAGACCCACATACATACACCTACAAAAACTCTTGGCAGCATGCACTCATCCTTGCAGGGCAGGCTTGTCCTTAAAAAGCAGGTCACAGGTAAATTGAGGGGAGTCTCATGTCTTGTTTGTGTCACAGCACATCTAGCCTTGTGTGAGTGCCAGGTTTACTTTCTTGCAGAACATATGGGCCAGCTTTTTTCAATAATGATAGGATGATGTGCCTGGGAGCCCACGTGATCACTTTACCTGAGATGACCCCTCTCCACATGAATGTGACTCACCCTACAGGCGTTACTGCGGTTTTTACGCCTCCTATAAAAATGTAACGTGACCTGCTGTGCACCTTAGACTAAACCACGAGCGTTTGCACTGGAGCTTGATGGAAAGATGGTTATCAGTTTTTAAGTTGTCATGAGAAAAGATTTACCCTGCTTATGGGATCTTTGCCTTAGATATTAGAGTCATTTTTGTTAAAGAAAAGAAGTTCAAATTTAATTTAAAACTACTCCTTTATGTGGTAACACTTTACAAGCTGTTATCTCCATTGGTATGGTGAGAATATGGAAACTAGGATATGAATATGATATGATATGCTTTCTTGTGTATAAGAGTGATTTCTCATAAATTTTTTGGAGAGTATTTGCCTCTGCAAGTGAGGATAGAGAAGAAGAGAGTGAATCAATTCAGACAAGGACCCCACATTCAGTGAAATGATCACAAATTTATTAACCAAATCCCACCCTCATGAATAAAGATAAAAACATTCTAAGTAATCATCTAAAATCAGGAGACATGAGGTGGGGATACTCTAAGGTCACCCCTTACATATTGTTTACTACTCTGAACACTAGTCCACACTATAGTAGTATTAAAAATATAAGAGTACCTCATTTGGTGCTGATGTTATTAACTACACCCAACATTTATATTATCAACCATCTGGGCTGCTGCAGAACAAAAGAGATGTTGCTGCTGTGAGTGCAGTTCTGACTACCAAATATTAAATTGAAGTTTTGGTTCCATTGAAATGCTTACACATATGCAACCTGAAGTCCGGCAGGTAGAGATGTAATGCAGAGTAAAATTATACAAAAGTCTCTCACACCAAAGGCATGTGTCTTATCCACTGTTCCGTTACTACCCATCAATGCAGTGGAAATCATCCTTATATGTTCTAAGTGTTAGACATTTTTTTTTGCTCAGACATTTTGTTGGTTGGACCATGGAAATCCCATGGAAAACAAGCTGGTCAAAAAGAGTGGGAGAAGTGGCTGAGGGGTTCATTTCACAATCTCCTGGTCCGACTTTTCTGGCTGTCACTTGCCCGTTTGATGGGTGGATCAGATAACCTCCACACTGACAAGATGGCGTTATAGATCCCTATCATATTATTTTTATGTACCAAAAAAAATATATTTCCCCACAGTCTCTTGGCATTAGACCGTTATGAGTGACACACAGTACCAAAGCCAATACTTTCCAACATAAGCTCAGGCAATGTTAAAGCAGTAAGAACTGAATCAACAAAATATTGCGTTCCTCTCCAAACACTGCTGTTCATTTAATACAGAATCAGCTTCACTTTAACAAGCAAGCCCCCAGAACTTGAGAGGCCTGATGAAAGATACATTATTTAAATGGAAATGTTTTGGGAGTTTTGGGTACTGCAGAACACTTACATTAGCTTAGGTTGATAACTTTAATGTCTAATAATTCTGCTAGCTGATTAAGTTGGGAAAGAGAACTATAATTATAGATTTGCATCTCAAATATAATTCATAATTTGCTGCTGAAAGGGGTACATTATAAGTGATACTGTATCTGCATGTTCTTAAAATATAATTTGTTAATAGTGTATTGAAACAGCTAATGATGAACTATGAACTATGTATGTGCGTTAGTATTGTATTTCATCAATTCACTGAACTGTTTTTTAAAACTCCAACCTGATCTTTTGGAAACATCTTTCAGCCAAAGTAATTAACAGGTTTTCCTTTTTGCAATTTGAAACACACCTTCTGAATTCTCAATTGCTCAAACTGTAAATGAACCGAGACTTAAGGGAACAGAGTGCTAAAGAATGTAAAGCATACCTGTTATAAGGCTTTACCTCAGAGAGTCTGCAAAGTAACTTGACCCATATAGCTAATTGGTAGGCTGGTTATGCTTTTTCCATGTGCTTTTTTGTTCTTGATTAGTTATATCTAGTTAGGGTTCTTTATCCTGTCTTACCCCTCTGTTTTGTTTTGTCTCTGTCAAAGGCAATAGGCATAAAAAATATATATATATATATTATTTAAAAAATTATTTCCACCCTAACTTGTCACATCGTGGTACAGCTCAGAAGATGTCCATCTACGTTTTGGTCCATGTAACATGGGTGGAAGTTCTTGAGTACCTTTTCCTTGTGACAAATGGATACATAAACTCCATGAACTCCATCCTGGCCAATCTTATAAATACATAGTAAGACCAGTATTTATTAGCAGTAAAAAGTGACACGATTGAGATTGAGAATGGTAGGAGTTGATATCGGACAATAAGAACAGCATGCAGGTCATGTATTCAACAACAAATATGCCAGGAAAACAGGAAACAGAAATTTTAAGATAAATTGGGGGGGAAAGTAGTGCAATGACATCAGAATAATTTGCCTACTGTAGAGAACAGGATAAAAAAATTTCTAGTGTTTTTTTTTTTTTGTAAATATTGATACTTTGCATCCAAAGAACTTCAAAAAAGAAAACATTATCTTTGGTGGTTGAGAGAACTTGAATGGAAGTGTAATTTGTATTATCTTGTATAAGAAATTTTATTTCTAACAACAAATACAATTTGTTATTACCTACAAGATTATGGAAGTGTGGGTCTTATTACCTGTATTTGCCAAAACAAAATGATGCTGTTTCAAGCTAACTTCTCCCACCAATCTGACAGTCTTTTTAGAACCAAAGTGAAATAGAGCATTATTCAATACGTTTGTGTGGTGTTTATGAAGAAGCCGTGGGAAAGGTAGTGGCAGGTCCACCCAACACATCACCGTGAAGTGGACTAATTGAAGATTATGGTGGGGAGTATGCCATGCCTCTGCCAGTAGATAATCCCTCATCAGCTGCCGTCTGGACTCAGAATGAGGAGTGCATTTCATGGAGGGTCTCCCCCCATGGAGCTGCAGAAACTGAGAGGCAGCCCTGTTTAATTACTTGCCCCACTAACAGCACTCTGAGACTGGGGGACAGTGGATTGAGGTTCTGGGAGTCTTATGAGGTGGGGGTGGGCAAGGGTATGCCTAACCCCCTAACTGTGGAAAACAGGAACAATGAGATTTTGTTTAGATTCAAGGCTTTGCAGCTTTGCCTCAGTTGCCATTGTCTCCCAGGCTTTTTCTTAAGCCCTCGCAGGTTACAAATCCAGGCACATATTGAGTCATTCATGCATCTGTCAATGACAGGGTGAAGCCCACGTAGGGACTCCTGCTGGGAATTTAATGAACATGTTTTCCTAAGGAGGTAGCTCTGAAAGTTAACAGACTAGCACAAGGAAGAATGTGAGAAAGTTAGCGACAGCCAAGAGTTTCTGGTGCCAGTTTTGGTTTACAATCTTGTTTGATTTCATGCAACATTTTAGGGGTTGTATTGTCAGTGAGGTTGGTGGTCTGATCAAGCATTACCTTCATGTAATTCTTTACCAATGCTCAAGTTAGTGATACATGAATGCTTTATGCAAGAATATAGTCCAATTTTCTCAATCCAAAGCAAATGGCGGCCCCTACTAAGAATATAAAATATTGAGAGCAGAAATGGGATCCAAACACTAGCAAGAATGGTCTCTTTGTGCAAAGTGGCCATATTCAGGGGTGAAGAGTGACCATGGAGAACTTCAGCAATCCATTCTGTTTACAAATAAGCACAGCTTAGTGTGCAAAGAGCCTCCAGACAGCCTGAGGTCAAGGAGCGTTCAAGCAAAACATCTCAGCACAGTGCAGGCGACCTCATCACTTTACCCCGAAGCTGGAATTCACATGCTTATGGATGATGGCAAACTCCATTGAATTCTAGCAGAAGAAATGAGACAAGTAAGTCGTAATCCTTAATCTAAATATCAAGTGGTTTTGCATTGGCAAGTATGTTGTGTCTGGACTTCTGTTCAAGCAGCATAAGAGATTCATTGTCTGAAGCAAAGTATAGAAGCAGGGTAAGGATGTGTGCATTCAGGGTCTGTCGCACAACTGTTGGATTGACTGAATCAAAAACAAAATTTAGCTTTTAACTTGTGTGGTGCTGGAGTGGGTGGAGACCAAGAGCAGCTGCCCTGGGGAGAAAAACAAATATTCCATTATTTAAGTCAGTATTGATTTGTGTATGCAGCATGATATTGTGAGAACAATATATGTATTGTTCTCACAGGGTACATATTTAATAGCAACTGGAAGAAACTTTCAATATATGTTAGATCACTTTCAAAATGTTTTAAATGTACAATGCAACACAAAATGTAGCACATTTTGCTAACTTATTTGTGCAAGTGATGGAAATGAGGACATGACATAACCAAAAAGAAGTGTGCATTCCTTGAGCACTCAAATAGATCACAACATGGGCATGAGGTCTTTCTTGTGCAAACACAAAACCATTTCGTCATAAACCTTTTTTCTTCTTATTCTTGCTTAGGAAATGTCCTTATGAGGCAGTATGAAGTGCACAACACTAAAATTCAGTGATGAAACCAATGATGAAACAAAGCTAAACACGTCTGAATTTGGTACGACTGATGCAGTGGTCAACGTTTAATTTATTAAGTATCCAGGCTGAGCAGAAGTCTCTCTGAACAGCTTAACATCAAGTCGACAAAAGTGATTTGACTTGACAAGCAGAATTATAGTTATGTCTTTGTCCTAGCGTTCGTGTCTGGAGCAGCCAGATGGGTGGGTGTTGAGGGCAAAACCTTGTGCTTCCAGAGACTTTCCGTGTAGAGCCAGTGTCCGTGGTCCATACATGTACTCTAGCCCCCACTGCTCTGAATACCACCATTAGGCCTGACCACCTAACAAGATCAAGATTTAGGCTTTTGAATAAATTAGGTTAATCTTATCTTTAAATGATTTCAACGATTAATCAAATGACTTCAACGATAAATAAATCAAAATAGTTGCTGATTAATTTTCTGTTGATCAATTAATTAATGAATCCAACTACTCATTTCAGTTTCTGTCATGACGATACTGAGTTCCCAACTACTGAAATCAACACTTATAATTTTTGCTGAATTAAAGAATACGAGGTTCTTTCTTTAAGCAACATTATGTACGATTTGTTTGTTTTTTATGCGATTTGGCACCCCTACCGTTTCAGAGTGTAATTCACAGCTGTATGCATGCAATTGTTATGATTACATTACTTATGATCAAAAACTAGCAAGTCGACAACTTTGCTACAGTCAAACATAAAGAAAGTGACAATATAAGACACAGCAATATTACTTGCTAGTCCAATTGTGTACACAGAATGTCAGCTAGACAGCAACTGCGCAAGAGCGCTTACAGTAACATTACCGATGTCCAGGTCTAACATCATCTCAAGATTTATAGCTACTGGTTAAACCTGTCTGTGAAACCTCTGGCTGATTTTGCTCGATTTGACAACTTTGCTAACACAGGCAAACATCAAGCAAGCCCATCAAGCCAGCTAATATGTCATTACTTACTAGTCCAACAGCAAGAAGGCCAGCTTGGCATCTGTCTTGCATCCTTTCAGCTGTCTGTTATTTAGGCCTACGCTTGTCTTGTTTCTTGCTCAGTCATTCTCTCATATATCTCTTCCTTGATTCCTCTGACAATGTTTTCTTCGGTCTCTTTGCAGCCTCTGCCATGATATTCATTCTGAGAATACCAAGTTAGCTTCTTCCAAAGAACTCACATAATACATTCTATATTTTTTGTTTCATCTTCTTATAGCTAGCTTGCTGAAGAGTTGTGTTAGTGTGACGTGTTGCCGTAAAGCATTGCATCGTTCTCACGATAGATGTCCTGTCTGGTATTTCAGTGTTACAGAGTGCCAATACCAAGCGCCCCTGGCCGGAGTGGCAATGACAGAGATGCCATTCTCCCCATTACAAGTCTGTCTACCTTGAAAATTATTTAAAATATGCTATTTTTAACATACTGCCAGATCAATCATACAGTATAAGAGGCAAAGCTTTAAAAAGCTCCTATATTCCTGGATTGATTGCTGTGGTAGACACACCCCACTGTTCATAACAAGTTGGCCTGCTGGCTATATTCATAAACCCATATTCCAGATCTTCACAAAGATACGCAACACGTTTACATACTGGCATTCAAGGAAATTCTAGGAAAAACATTGTAATCAGCGGTTAATATGGTCAGACAAGACACATTCTTTAACATATGTGGGTTAGAAGACAATGTAAAAAATATAAATATCACTGGGGATTGCCCCATGGTTAAAGCTGAACTATTTGTCCCAGTGCACTGAAATAGGACCAAATAAGAGGCAGGAAGTTCTTTCTGGAAACAGTCAGAAATCCCTGACATTTATGTCATTTCCTTTGGCACAAGCTCGTGGGGCCTAACTCTTGCTCTGAGCTTGCAGCTCAGTGAACCCAATCACCCCGCCCAGTAATCCTCGCTCTTCTAACTGCTGTGATTTTGTCACTTGAACTGCAGAGCCTGAAAGCTGTGCACGCACAATCTGGAGAGGACACGTCACAAACGACTCACACTCCTGCGCGGCTAATCTCATTACCCTTGTCTCTATGCAGTATGGGGTCAACAGGGTTGTGTTGCTTGTGCCACCAGAGTGAACTGGGATCAAAATGATCATGAATTTCAGCGAGGCTTCACAGAAACATGAGTCACATTAATGTGAGAGGTGACCTTCGTATTAGTAGAGGCTATCAAGAGGCCTCAGTGGACTGGCTTTAGAGCAAAACATGTTGCTGGGTAAAAGTTGTATATGCTGTGCTCAGGATGAAAAGTTGGTGCAGCCTGTGTTTACTGTCTGTCAAGTCTGGTATTTTAGAGCAGTTCAAGCAACAGGTGCAACTTAAGATATACTGAGAGTTATTCTGAGTGATAGCTCAAGTCACCATAAAAACATCTCTAAGACGACTCAGTCTGTCTGAAATACTGCAGAGTGAGTAACTTGACTGCTTAAGTGCATACTGCACAGAGGACACTTGGTGCTTGACTGCTGATGAGGATCTGTTTATTCAAAAAAGCCTTTAAGAAACATCTGGGATCCAACCCACCAAATGTGATGAAAATAAATAGAAAGAGAACCTTTGCTCGGACAGTTTCAGTATTTCTGACATATGATTTATCAAAGAAACACTGATGTGCTGTCAGTGTATCTTGAAAATAGGGCATCCAACTAGTGAAAAGCAGCCTTAATTATAAAGTATAATAATCTAAAGCAGTGAATTAGTTTCACAATAATTATCCTTTCATTTTTCTACGCTTTGCATTGACTGAATGACTAAATTTTGCATTAAGGCACTGCCATATTCATTTATCAGATAAAGCAGCTATGCATTGACCAACCAAGATGAACATTCTCACAAACAGTTTTCACTGCTTACAGAAATAGTCTACGTTTAAGTAGGCTAAGAGCGAAATTATATATATGGTGCATATATATGAAGCACTTAAGTTCAGTTCCTGTCTTATTCACTAGAGCAGATGTGTGGTATTGATCAGTCCTCTAGCGTCAAATAACTTTTATTGGTCCTGCAGCCAGAATGTAGACCAAATCATGACTCGCACGGTGGACATCGTGACTCCACAAATAAACCTCAATCACCGCAGGCATTGTTCTCCAGCAGAAAAGCCACATGCACACCAGGCGCTGAATCCTCCACAGAAACAATTAACGAGGCCAAATAACTATTCGTTTCTACCCCTGTTGGCTGTGATAATAAGTTGCAGTCCAGCCTTAACGCACGGTGGAGTGAGTCAGATTCGCCATGCAGCCGTGCGGAGATATTGGGGACAGCTTGCGCATCGTATGAAACAGATGAAAAGCTTTTGCTGGGATGTGTATAATCCTGTCCTCACGACAATCCTCAAACCACCTCGCAGATTATTTCTCGGCTGAGGATCACTTTCGAGGCTAGTTGAATCAAATGAAGTGAACTGGTGACATGCATGCTTCTTAAACTGCCCTCTTATTGACAATTTTTAAAGCACCAAAACAACACGCAGCAACTGGAGCTGGTGAGAATACCGTAAAAGCTTTTTTCTCGGTTTCTACTCATGCCTGTTGCACTGTGGACGCACTAGGAGGAGACTTGCAGCTGACAAGCAACACGCACATGGTGCGTTATTATGGTGAGTTCACTGCAACTGTTCTTTGTCCTACGACGTGTGTTTGACAGTTTGTGGCTTATTCTGAAAATCGTTTTTAATGTAGGCCTAAATCACTTACGTTTTTAATTAATTAACAGGAGCAATCGGTGGAAAAGCATTAAAATATTCTCAGAATATAGTGAGAGTGACTCTTCTGCACATTTGTTAACATTGACTTTGTCTTTATGATGGTTATTATCTGGTGTTAGAAAGTCATCCGTGTGGCACTGAGAACCAGTTATTTTTACCGGTTTTATTATTTTATTCAGTAACTTTTGTGGGATTTTATCATTTTGTACAAGGATTTTAAACTAGATTTTGCACTGTGGCTGGGATGTAAGGTTGATTCCTGTTGTAGTTATTCTCTTTTTAGTTTAGTTAGTTCCTGTATTTATAGACAGTGCCCCAGTGTGGTTTCAGGTTCACTGTCATGGGAAGAAAAAAAAACAAAGCTTTGTTTTAACTGTGTACAATGAACAGTATTAAGGTTCAGTGTAAATTAGGCAGCCCTTGAGTGCAAACATAAACTAAAGCACAGAGGATGTTAAAAACCTGAAAAGAGAGATGCAGTTTTGTAGTGACACAAAAAAATACTATAATGAGGGACTCTGCAGTGTCAAGGAAACAGAAAGTTATTAGTTCAGTATTTCACTTCAGTAGTTTTGAGGTGCAACTCCCTCTGAGATGTATGGTCAAAATACTCTAAAGAAATATAATTTATTGAATTTAAATATAGATAGAGTTATAGAGGAAGCACACCCAATAAGAAATTATTAAAAATCGTAAAACATCATGGTAATAATTGTCAAAATACAGAACACAGTACACATTAAAGTTACTTTAATGTGTGTAGGCATTACCACAAGATGCAATTTCTAGTGTGGATTGGTTGGTACAATAAAATTTGAAGAACACTATTTATTTATAAGGCGTCATGACTCAAAACACCTTGTGGAGTCTAAAATAAAACTGCATCTAATTCATGTAATCTTTTGTGGCTGTAGCCTGTATGAGGCAAATAAAATCCACAGACACTGAATGTATATGACCTGTTGCTGACGCCTGTGCATAACCAGACTGCACTGCTTTTACAGTGTCTGTGGAATTCAGAAACACTTCTGATCACATTTCTAATTTCATCATGACAACATCTTTTAAATCAGATATTTTAAAGTCAGCGTCTTATTTTCTTATCAAAACTGGACACCAAACTGAAACTTTGAAACATTTCTAAATAAAACTGCACATTAGAACTGATAATATTAACACTGAAGCTCTCGTTGTTTCTCATATGAACTTTATTTTTCTAAGCTTATTCACTTCCATGGTGGCCAAAGGTTACAAATTGAGTGTCTTTCTCAAAGACCTTCCAACAGCTATGCAGTTTAGCTTCAATCTCTCTTGCTGTTCCGAAAGAGGAAATAAAGTGTTTTTTTGTTTACAGTTGTAGAATAGCAACGTCTGGAACAACATTCAGAAAACTCTTAAATTTTTTGTCCTACAGTCCTAAAGAACCCTCGTTGCCAAAAACTATTTTGGCAGCCCCTGCCATCAATATGCTCACTGTTTCTGAAATTAGTCATTTAACTCTTAATGCTGAGGGAATTTCTGTCTGCAAATTAGTATTATTATATGCATTTATCTACATTTTGAGCAAATCAAGGATTGTTCTGCAACATTTGGGATTATATAATATGACACAGCCTGCTTATTCTCACTTCCAACCTCTTTACCATCGTCCAGACACATTCATGGCTCTGTCCAGATGTGTGTGTGCATCTCTATCATGTTGCTTCATTCTGTTTTTCAGTTCTTTATTGCTTGTAGAGCTCATCAGTTAATAGCTGTGTAGTGCTCACTGGATGAACATTGGGTGAATCATTAATAATATTACAGCAGCTATTAAATATTTATGAGCATAGTCTGATGAGTAAGCAAGGTCTCATCATTGAAAGTGAAAGCATAATGATTTAGCCTGACAGTAAAATAACTAACAATATAATACCTTCCCCGCAATAGATTGTGGTGAATGTGTATTTGGGGTCCACTGTGTTCTTCCTTGATCGCTTTGTCATTTTTCACTCATCTAATATTGCATATCACTGATGCACTACAAAACAGCTGCACAAATATTTACTGTCATTAGTAGCAACATAGTTATGAGTGCATAAAAGCTCCCACCAAAACCATACAGAAGGCTTTTATATTTTCTATGTAACCTAATGCGTAATGTTTGCTTAGTGCAAGATCTAATTTTACTTTGAGACTTAATGATTGGATATTTACAAAGTGCTGCACTCCTTCATCACAAGCTCTAGGTATCATATTATGCTGACATACAGAGGCAGTCTGCATTTTATTTAAGCTGCTGCATTTTTGGTTGTAAAAGCTTTTTTATTATTTTGTGAAAGTTATTGTTGTGATGCTGTAGGTATTCTTTTCAGTGTATTCATTTATAGCGTCTGCTTTTCAAAGGCAGTCATGGGTGATGAATGAATTTGAGCTTCTTGTTCTTACTGTGCAAACTGCAGCAAACTGTTGACTGTCATCCTGCAGTGGGAAGCAGGAACAGGTGAATGCTGTCAGGCATCTGAGCTAGACAAGCCAATAAACCAGCCTCAGGACACTGCTGACTGATGCAAAACTTGCCCTTTAGTCCTCCCTTATTCCTCAACTGTGCTTCGGCTTCACTGAAAACTGAGTACTTGCTAAAAAAGACTGTTGGTCCCGAAGTTATGGTACAAGCTGTTAGTGTACAATAGAAAGTACAGTACATGTAAAATGGCACTTACCCAGCGTTCCTGTTCATATTTGTGTTTTCTTGTAAAGCTTCCATGTACGCCAGTTTCCCCCTGTGACTTTGAAAATGTCTTTTTAAAGTAGTGCATGTTTATATGTGTGTCTGTGTTTGGGGCTTTTATGTGCATGACCTAATTCCACAGTGAGCAAAGAATCTGCAGTGATGGCTGTGTGGTCATGTGTATGTGTGTGCTCATGCGCGTGTGTGAGTGCGTGATTGAGTGTGCACACGGTTTCCTCCCTCCCCCATAGCTTCCTTGTAAAGCCGACAGAGAGCACACTAAGTTCATCTAAGGACAGGGACGTGCTTTTCTTTCCAGTGTGAATCATTTTGGAAAAATGAGCCTCTGGACTGAATTGCCCCAACAATTTGGCATGTTTCTCCATTCTGCTTTATTGTCTATTTTGGCTGAACTTGCAGTTCTTCATTTCACTGCCAAGAAAACTTCAGGTCCTATACAACAGGCAAAGCCAGTTTCTGAGTCAACCACGGCCTTTAAGCACATAAAATAAATCTCTACAGAGTACTGCCATAGCTTCCTGTTTAGCTGTGAATTCCAAAGAGAAAAAAGCAAGTCATGCCTGTACTGTAAATCCAGAGTTCTCTAGAAACAACATGGACAATAGCCATCTCAAGGCTTTACACCTTCAAATAAAATTCTACATGGAAAATGACACCTGCCCACTTTTTACAGGGGTGTTTTATACGTTTAGATTACGACCCTTCCTCTTTTTAAAAGCCATTTTCTCGGCACAAGGTATCTGCTTTCGCACTTGTGCAGTTTGTGGAACAAAACTCTGCAGTGCAGTGAAAAGAAAGTGTGAGTGGGAGCGGTTTTGGGATGTGGACAAGAAAGAAGGGAGGGAGATGAGGGGGAGTTTTTAATTTTGTAGTCAGCCCCCCCCCCCCGCCCCCAGCCCATAATTCTGCTCCCTCTTCGAGAGGGAAGAGGGAGTGGCCTGTGTTGAGGTTTGGGTGAACCAAGGGTGGGCTGTGGCAGCCGGCAGCTGGGCTCTCACTACCTATGTCCTCCAGCTCCAGCCTGAATTATGAAGGCTCAGGAATGGCAGCCAGCCTAATTACAATGACTGATTGCCCGTCCGTTGGCATTTCTCAGACGGTGATTGTCGTGAGTGTAGGCTATGAGGAGAAGGAGGAGGGCCATTTCTCATTGCCCCCCCCCCTTTCTTTGCATGAGAACAGCCATAGATTGAGATCTGACTGGCTGGAGAGAAAAGAGATGTTTCATGATTTGGCAAGGCAGAGCTGGTGGAAAGCCAGAGACAGGTGATGTTGCACTGATAGCTTTGAAGCTGTATGTTACACCAAAGGAATATTAAAACATTATTTTTGCTATTGTATAGGAATACTAGTCTGAAGTAAATTCAAAACTTTTTTGATATCTCGTGAAGAATATAGAAACTGATCTCTAAATGTAGTAAATCTTCAACCTGTTGACTTCTTTCTGTGTTCTTGCGCATTCCTTCGACTATCCTACTGGCATTGTGAAAATTAGATAAAAAAAGGCAAAAGGAGAAGCACTGAATTGGCCGTTTGTATGTCAGCAGAGCACTCAGAGGTGTGATGTGTGTGTTAAGTGGGAGCTGGTTTGAGTTGGTCTGCCCTGCTTTGTCCAGTGCTTTGGCTTTTGTTCCTCCAGTAATGAATTGTGGAAGCCTTGGCTTCAGCTGGAGTGTCTCATAGCAACTGAAAAGAGAGAGGGAGAGCTGGTAAATGGAGAAAAGGGCAGGGGAGATCATGTGTTTCTTTCAAAAGGCAAGACAAACCAGACCATCGTTTGGGCATTTTGTGAAGAGTAGAAATCCAACTGGACAATTCTACTTGTACCCAGTGCATCATTATTTATTTCTTTTATTTCAAATGACAGCATTTTGGGCCTGGGATAACAGCATGTGTTCTCTGAAATGTTTCTATTACTTAAAATATGGATTTTAAGAGTGCCTAGACTTAATTTTTACATGTCTGAGACTAAATGTAAAATAACTATTTTCCAAACATATTGCTGGTTTAAAATTTACCAATTTAAAAAATGTCTGCGCGCTCTTAACATTAACCGGTCACAGCAACTCATTATGTTTTGTGGTGATGGTGCCATCTTGAATATTCAGTGCCACTGTTGATTAACTGAAAGTACCGCTCTGTGGTTGTATCACTTCTCAGGTCAGCTGCCAACTTTCACCTGAATCCATGTGTGTGTGAGATGTGTGTGTTTTTGTAAGCGTTTATGTGTTTACGTGCATGCATGTACATTCAAATTTGCTTTTATGTGAATGCCCTTATGTGTGTGTGTGTGTTCACACCAGGTTAGACTTTATTAACCAGCGGCCAGTGCTAAAGCCAGGCCATGTTTGCCCTGTGACCCAGACACTACCTGTCTGCTGCCATGGTTACAGGGACATAGCAGGTTTAGTGGCATGACTCCAGGGATTACTTTCCCTGGTCTTAACAATCAGGCCTGTGCCCCAGTGGCTGTAAAATGGGCCAAACTGCACCCTAACAGTTAGGGGAGCTCAGCAGTGTGCCCTGGTGGCCTTTAAAACTGTCCTAAGTGCTGTGTAAGGGATTAGATCTATACAGCGTAATTGCTCTGGTTTCAGTGACTGTCCCTTTGTGATCTGGTTCACTTGTAGTGATTAGCTCTCATAAATGAAAAACCTAATGCCACGCACTGGATACAGGTCTGAGGTGCTTGAGTTAAAACACATGTTGAACCATTTATCTTTGTCTTTGAGAGCTTACGATTTTGTCACCAGACACAATTTTAAGATTTTCCACACACTGACAGCGTTTTCTGTTTACTCAACAGATCAATGAATGAAGAAATACAAGACTCAAACAATCACTGTGAGTACTTTATATTTATAGAAGGTGAACCCAGTAACCTCAACACCATACCAGTTTTGAAACGTACGAGTGTGTCAGAGAGCCGTTTGTTTCATGTCTTTGGTGGCGTGTTAGATCATTTAATGAGATGATGATTACAGATTGTTCACACTGTGGATAAAACAAAAGAAGCACCTAATTGTGTCCACTGTTTATAAATGTTCTGTGTTACAGATCTGCTGTGTAACATGTCTCTAATGCATGTGAGAGATAGTTGACTGCAAATATTTGCAACAACCTGAGTAACATACAGAAGCAGTTCTGAGTCTGCTGTTGTACTTTATTCCAGCAAGTTGCATATCTCACTGTAACTACTTGGAAATGATAAAATCACAGGTCACAGGTGCACAGGTCATTCTGTCTTGTACGTTCTGTGTCAGTGACCTTGGAAACAACTGAAAATGTGGGCAGAACTTGATTTGTTGCCAAGAACAAGAACCTGGCCCTGTCTGTCTGACCAGATTAGTGATGTTTTTATTGCCATTGGCCAGAGGTTCGTTGTTATTTATGTTGCCTTTGATTTAGTAATCGAACGCTCACGTTAAATACCCCACATGGCTGCCATGCTGAAGGCTTCGGAATTGGATGGAGCACTGAGGGTCAGTATAATCTGAATTTTGGAAAGATTTTTGGTGACTTAGCAGAATCACAAAGGCCTCTCTTATTCACTCTAGTGACTTGCAGTCTTACAGGTGTCCACCAGATGCTGCAGGCAGCCTGTACTGTCCCTTGCATGTCATGCAGTGGAGATGTAATATCCACTTTGGAGCAAAGACTTGGAACTGTTTCCATGGTGTTAGGATTAAATGTAATTTAGTTGTGCATCATAGAAAATAGGTCTCATTTTGGGCTATTAACTAGCTTTGATGATGCATCTGTTAGAAAGTGGACTGAGAGTAGTGTAATTGAAGATTTGTCTTTTAATTACATTGGTTTAATTTAAGCACTTGAAGAGATAATGAAAGAAGACATTTGATATTAAATATTATAATATGTCAGTTTTATAACTGACATATTATTACTATTATTATTATAACTTACTGTTTGTGAGTTAGTGGGGGGTTTCATTCACAGCCTTCAAATTATAGTCATGCATCAAAAGTTGTTCTTGAAAGAATACTCAATATTGGTATAGTGAAAGACCTGTAGATACAGTACGCATGTGAACCTGAGAGTAAGAGTGAAGCAGGGTGTGCATGCCGAGCAGAGCAACTTCACAGTTAACTTTGCGAACAAAGCCAGCCCCGCCACAAGGCATGCTGGGAAGTTTGGTAAAAGTGCCTGCCAACGTCCAGAGAGCGGCTCTGAAAATCTTTGCAAGGGCTGAAAATGAAGTTTGAAAATAGAAGTAAGAGGAGCAGCAAAGTAGGCTCAGCCTTCTCTTAAAGAGATATTACCAAAACATTCCAAAGTCATGTACATATAAATGGGGCTACATAGTGAAGTGCTGTTTAAATGTACTATACATCAACAAGGTTGTGGCTAGATATAAATTTTAAAATGTTGGTGTGGACTAATTTTACTCACTTCTGTAGTATCAATTACATAGTTTTTAAAAATGTTAATATGCTGTAATATTCAAAATAAAAGCAAAACAAGAGACAATTGTTTAAGAAGAACGTTACATTAGATAAGTTTGTTTGCTCGGCTGTTATTATAAAGAAAATACTAATATCAATTTGCTGTAGTAACTGACTTGAATTAGAGTTAGATATATAATGGCTGAAGTAAATAACACTATAAAATACAATAGTGTATTACTGGATGCATAATTACTATCAAGATTATGCGATGAAACGATAATTGTGTTCTACTGTAGCAAAAAATACTATGGTAACAATAACAGAAAACCTGATTTCACAGTGCAATGGTGACAGGTGCACTGTTGATGAAAGAGGGAGAAAAGAATCAATCTTTAAGTTTATTAAATTTTATGTAAAAAGTAAAAGAAGCTTTGTAATATTAGAATTTCCTGTTTTTATTTAGTATATCCAAAAATGAGCGCGCAGAAAGGCCACTTCAAAATGGCTGATTATTGATATTGCAGGAATCAAACCTTTTAACTGTCAGATTTGCTGTGAAACCACAGGAAAAACATGCAAGGAGGTGGCAACTAAACCTTTATAGTTTATAGACCTAGCAGAGATTGATTACTCGTTTACAGTGCTGCCATGTTTAACATTAAGAGCTCACTTATACAATACAGTCTATATTTAGTGTTTTCAAATTCTAGTGGTGTTGTGTGCCTTGCTCATGGCCCCGCAAGCGTTTAATGTTAATATTAGTAATTTCTGATTTATTTTGATTCCGGTTTTCGTTTTGAGCTCAGGTTTGTAGTGCAGTGTCAGGCATTGCCAAGCAGAGGACTGTAGAGGTGGTGGTCAGCTTTGTGCTGTGGAAGCAGCCAATGCTCAGCTGAACAGTGGAAGACAGCCTGGAGGGTCCTGAGCCTTCACTTCGCAGCTCCCTGTTTGGCTCTCACACATTGTGCCATTCAGAGCCCAGACTGTATATTCACCCTGTTATGGTCACACCACCGTTGTTAGAGTGAGTTCATTTGAAAAGCCCCCAGGATTTTTTGGTGCAAGCAAGTCAGCGCTATTTGCATTTGTTCCAGTCTCAAAGATTTTACAGGTCAATTGAGACAAGCGAATATTGAACATGCCAAAAAGAGTTTCCTTTTCATAATCATCTTCATCATCTTCTCGTCCTTGTTTATTTTAGCCAGTCTCTGATTCTATTTTCCCAAATTTCCTTTCCCAAAGAGCAATATGTTAGGACCATCTATCTGCTTTATGTGCGAAATAGTCTGATCAAATAGATCCAGGAGATGATATTTTATGTAAAGTAAGTATCACTTTCACTTATTAAGATATGATGTAGATTAATGACAGACAAGCATGCTTCCATAGCTCTATCCTTCTCCCTGTCTGTTGATGAGGGGAAGAAAAACCTTGTTGGCATCTAGGGTAGCAACAGGGGATCAGATAGAGGAGAGACAGGTAAGTGCCAGCCTTTCATTTGATGATGGTTTAGGCCAGAGCCTGCAAACCAAGACACTATTTAGATAAAAACATGTAATCACTTTAATTAGCCTAAGCCTACCTTGTTGGTCTTGCCATCAGGTTTGCTTGCGTGTGTTTGTGTGTGTGTGTGTGTGTGTGTGTGTGTGTATGTGTGTATCCTATTAAGTAGTACATGAGGATATATAGGATCCAACTTTGTCATAACTTAAAAAAATACTACTAATGTAAAAAAAAAAAAAACACCAACAAACATAAAAAAACGAATACTTTAAAACAGTTACATTTTTAATGGTCTACATTATAAATGGTCTGTAGATGAATATGGAAACATCATCAAGGATAACAGATACGATCATAAAACCTTGCTAAATAAAATTGTAACGATTGTGGTTTGAACTGAGCTTTCAAGGATATATTGACTAATTTTCACCACCAAGGGGCAGAAAGACCTCAAAACAAACTCCCAGCAATGAGAATTTCGCTAAAATAGTAAGTAGTATGTAGCTGCAGTACCGGAGGCTGCAGTTTCAGGACCGCAATCCTAGGCCCGGAATTGCATTTCTAGGACCCTTGTTTACTTTGATACTGCCAGCTAGCTGACTGGCTAGCTAGCTAGCTATGTTACTCTTGACAAACTTTGTTAACAGTTGAAATAAACAACCATTATCAACAATAGCAACAAATTTTAATATTTCACCTTAGATAGATGAGAAACAAAATCTTATATTAGGTTAGCTAGAAGGCAAGCTAATTGACAATCCCTTTAAAACTGCCCCACTGGAGGTTTGAATCAAATGTGCTTAATCAAATTCTAGATTTCTGAACGTTAGACTGTGAGCCAAGTACATTTTGTAGAGATATTTGACTGGGGCCCCATGAAGAGGACAGGGGGTTTGTTTTCCAGGGGGTGTGGAAATGAGAAATAGTGAGTCACTTATTTTGTTTGTTTTTCCAAGAATAAATCAGTAGTTACTGCCAGATTTCCCAGGTTATATTAAACACTGAGCATACAATGAAAAAAAGTTAATGACAGAGAAAGCACTCAATATAGCTGATATTGGCTTAAAATATATAATAGATGTATCGTTCAAAATGTAATAAGACAAAGAGTTGTTTTTTCATTTTTGTGCTGTTCAGTGAGTTGTCTTTATAGTTTAAATGAAACATGAAACTCTCTCTGGCCCTAAAGGTGTCACATGAAGTGCAGCTCTGATTTTCTATGCTAAAATAAGTTCACTGCACAGCGCCCCTGGAAACATGGTGTACTAATCTTAAAAATATAATTAGAGGAACCATTTCATGGTTTTCGCTCCCCCATTGTTTTGTACATAGATTTGTTGATATCTGTGCAAGTGAGTTGCAGCTTAAAGAAATGCGCTCTTAAAAATGTATTTATTCACACTATGTGTAAATGGATGCAATAGCTCATAATCAACAGACAACTGTTAAGTAGCCACTTTGATCCCAAAAAGTTAATTTCAAGACTCAAGCACACACTGACATTATTTTAACTTGCTGGAGTTGGTAAGTCATTTGTCCATTACTCTTTGTTTTCCTTGACCCAACATGGGAATACAAGTAGTTTACAACTTTTCAGACAAGAATTCAGGTACACACTTGTGGTAATTATTTTTCTTTTCAGTTGTCTCTCAGCAGTGATCCCATAGGTTTAACCTTAACCTAAATACCTTGTACTTGAACACCAATGTCAAAAATCACAAACTCACAAGTTTCATTTGAAGGCAATGAAATTACATTATAGTGGGGAAAACTGTTCATGTTCCCTCCCTTATAGTGAGCTTACTATAGTGAGATGATAAGCTCTCTAGCTAGCTTAAATTAACTTATTAGCTATCAAGCATGCTAGTTAATGCATCCCCAGACAGATCTCTGTAAGCAAAATCTGCACTTCTAATGTCTTCCATTTTCCTACATCTGAATGTTAACAACTCTCAGCTCAGTGTATCAGCAGCTTCAGCCTTATGTGAAGGGGTTAATGTGACTGTCAGTGTGGGGGGTGTTGTCCATCTGTCCACTGGTGAAAAGGGCCATATCACTCGGTGCTCTGGCAGGATAGGAATCTGTCTGGCTGTAGTGTTAAGATGTCCTGGTCAGTGGGAGGAGGCCACATAAAGGATGTGACGTCTTCTCAGCAGACGGGATGTCAGTGGGAGTCACCTCATCCCTCAGAGAGACATTTAGCTGACGGTCTTATGCAGAGATTGATTGATTACCGGTATAATAGAGACTGTGTAAGGGCTAAAGCAACAGCACAGAGATGATAATAATGTAACAGAGTCCTCTATGAGCAAACACATTTGAAGCTGAACTGGACGTTTGATGTTAATTTGTCACCTTGATCATTCACATGATTATTTGGCCTCTTTTTAGCTTGTCAAAAAGGTGGTTAAGTGATGCTACTGCTTGATTGTTTAGCCTGTTAGGAGCATGTGGAGCATGAGCATTAAAAAGTAGGTTAAGCCTTTCTAACCCAATAATACTTTGTTAGTATCAGTTTTATTTGCTTTCCTGTACTTTTCTAAGCCCTCTGGCACAACATGTGGCAAACCATGTTTTCCCAAGCTGGTTAAAACAAACAATACAGATTATTTGCAAATAATATTTGACCCAGGTCCACTTGCCCCCTTGTGATCCCACTATGGGGTTACCAGCCTCGGTATCTTCTTAGCAAGCCTTGTGGCCCCTCCTCCCAAATGTATGAACCTGGCAGGACCAGGACGGCTTGGTTCTCCTTTTGCATGCCCCCTCCCCCCACCAGACACAGTGATGGCACTCAGTGCCAGAGACACCCCTCCTTCCCCTCCTTTCCCTTCACCAACACTCTTCTCCCCTCTCCTCCCTCCCTTCCCTCTCTGCCGCAGGCAGACCCAGGCATGGGATCTCCATCTGTGCACAAAGGAGCCTCGTCTATCTGCATACGCTGCACATAAAAGGGCCTTTTGTCATGAGCTCTGCACACATGACCGTCCGCCTTTCACCCCGCTGGAAAAAAAGATCACTCTCTCTAGCAGTCCAACCCCACCCCCAACACCAGACTCAACCCTGTCTCCCGACACCCCCTGCCAGATTTTCGTCTGCAGAGAGAAATAGAGAGAGGGAGCGGGAGTGAGTGAGTGAGTGAGTGAGACAGTTCCACTCTGAACTTTGTCTAATAGAGACAACCATCACATGGGGCTGGTTCCATCACTGTTTTTGCTTTTGCATTTCTTGTTTTTCATGTCCACCTTCTCTTTTTCTCTCTCTCCTGGTGTCCTTGTGTGCACTCAGTGTGAAGCATCAGACGCATTACAGCATCTGCCATACTGAAATATGAATGTGTTCTCATTTTTGCTGTCTCCCTTCCTTTCTGCAGTCTCTGACATTTAAGGGGCATTAGTGGTTGGTTCTGTGCCAGGTTATCCCTTACCCCCACCATTACAGAGGCACAGGCTCAATTGACAACAGTCCGAGAGCTGATGCTTTTCTCTCCCTCTCATTTTGGTACCTTTCTCCTGCCTTTTAACCCCTCGGCCCTATGCAGCTTAGCAGAGCTGGAGGTATTTGTAATGTGTAGAGATAATGGCATAAATTGTCTGTACAGGTGAGATGAGCACCATATCAAGATGAGACAAAGTAGATTTCTCCACCGTTGTGAGACACATGGGCTGCATGCCATTTTGGCTGCTACAGAGGACTGATATTGGTGTTGAGGGTGGGGACAGAGCAAAGACACAGGCACAGGCTAACACACACTGTCAAGTGCATGGGTGCTACCTCAAAAAACGCTTTCCTCAGCGATTCATTTGAAATACACACCGCCCTGATGCCTTGCTCCCAGCCAGATGAGTGTAGATTTTGGAAAGCCCTCTAGCTCATCTTACTGTCGCTGCACACAAGGCTCTAGCTGACCAGAGGCTTAAGACTGACTTCTCCCTCCACTGCCATGTCCTCTGCATGACCCTCTGCCTCTGTAAGCTGGTATGAGAGGTCAGGAGCTGTCATATCACAGTTTCCCATGTGCTATTCACACCTTTAGCCTGATGATGATGATGATGATGATGATGATGGGCAGAACAAAGAATTATTACATACCATCTAGTCAGCCTGGTTAACATGCATAGTGCATATAATTTACACACAGGGACTAAGTAATAATTTAGCACCAATAAACTGTAGTGTTTACTGCAAGCTCTTCTATGTATCTGTGGCCATAATCATGAGGAACAAGACTGCATGTTCCCACCAACGTATTATAATTACATGAGAAATAATCATCACGATAATTATAATGGTAATGATAATAATAAACATAATCACTCACTTCACATGAAATGAAACTCAAATGGCTTTGTATGAAAAACATACAGCCTAAAACATTTCCAGGTTAAAATATATTGCATATTTACATAAGAAAGAGAACAGTCAACCTAAAATAGGAATAGTATATCTAGTATACCCTGTAGGAGCAAACAACTGTTGTGTGTATGAAGCACACAGAGCAACCAGTTCTCAAAACACAGAAATACGCAAAATGCCTGTGCACCCTAAAGATTCAGATTAATGGAAACAACCCTTTGTAGAATGTTTATGTCCTCAGATAACCAAGCTATTCAGTGTCTTGACTTGCCTCTCTGATGGACCCAAACATAATACAAAATAATAGAACTACTGTATGTGTGCACACTAATTTGTCTACTTTAAAACACTGTCCAGCTATTATCTCAAAGGCAGGTAACAACGTCATTTCTTTACTATAAAGAGTAACATTTACAGTCTATGACACATAAAATATGAGGACATATTTTAAATAGACAAGCAATGCCTACATACTCTAAATATGGGCAACCACACAAAGCAAAAGACAGGGTAGAAGTAATACATAGAATAAAAAGTCTTTTGCTCATCTTAAAAATAATATTTTACTGGAAATGAACATTTTTGACTAAATTTACAGAAAACAAAGGATTAAAACCGCCAGCTCCTATGAAGATCTGCTTTTCTTCCACATAGATAAATACATAACATTATGCACATCAATTACAGTCTTTCAGCCCAAGTGGTATTGACCTAATCAGTGTTTTTCTCCTTGTCACTTTTAAATCAATACCAGTACTGTGTCCCCTTTTAAAGGAAGCCACGGATATTTTTTTCCTGTGCTTAAAGTTAGAAATGGTTATCATCATTAAATGGCATTGCTAAATTGGAAATTGTATCTATAGTATATAGATCTATAGTATCTGTATCTATTCTGAGACTGAGCTTACTTTACTGTGGTAATCAGAAGAAAGAAAGTGTTGTGAAGTGATTCAGGGGGCTGAAGACTCAGTGGGTCTGTGTTGGAGAAGGCATGAGGAGGAGTGCATGTTTATGAAATGGATAAAGCTTATTAGGTGCATGTTTTACTGTTCTCAGTAGAGTAAGGATGCAAGAGAGAATGTGTAAAATAACAAAACAGCATGCATGACGTGTTGGTTGAGAATTTCTGAATGTGTATGGCTCGACTGATGGACTCCTTGTGGCCCTGTGGCGCCGACACGGGCGTTGTGACGTGGCCCCTAAAATGCCAGGCCTGTGCACTTCTGGTGAGTGTCGAGGGAGAATAAAACTAAATGGGCAAGGCTGTTTTAAAGTAGGTATTAGCAGCCCTCAGGGAGAACTGAAAAGGGAGAGTTCAGGTATGTAGAAGCTGAGTACAGGCTAGTCAAGTGGACAAAAAAGGAGAATTTCCGTTTTTATTATTATGCGTAATTGACTTTTGATCATTTGTCCATGTACATCAGTTAACTTAGTGCCTTAGATCAGTATTTTTACAGTGCAGTTTAGGTAAGATCACTTAATTACTATGATCTATGTTGTAGAAATTATTAACGTTTTTACTACATTGAAACATCTCTGGTGCTTACCATAATACTATTGGAATTACAATTCCTAAATTGTTGATCTGTTTAAAGGAGTTCTTTAGTTATATGAAGAAAACATTTATTCTAAATATCAAATGATTCCACAATATAATTTATCTAATTTCACATTAATGTACAACATTTTATGCTTACTTCAACTTTAATATATTTCTTAGATTAACGGATTGATTGACGGAATGAGTATACCATGTTGTATTAAGGTTTAATTTTGTTCTTGTAGTATCGCAGCACTTTAAAAAACGTGTTTATGTAATCCATAATATTTAATAAAATAAAACATTTGCACTGACTGTCAGGATTGTTCCCCTTTCTTTCTCAGCTTGCTTAAGGTATTAGTAATTTACAACTCAATCTATTACTCATAAAACTTATAAACTCATGAAACACATTCAATTACTTTAATGCATTGTTATCAACATGTTGATAGCATTATTGATACTGTAGTTTGATGGGGATTTAATGCCTAAGCTGCCCTAGTTTGATGCTGCCCTGGTCCAGGACAATATGTTAGGCTGTTGAAGGGCTGCCAGAGGTAGTTGTTAGTTACAGTTAGGGCGCGTCCCTCTTTGGATAGGTTGTCCACTCTGAGGTCTGATATCGAATAGGTCCATAATTTCCAGCTTGTTCCCAGGAGAAACTCTCCCTTGCTCGTTTTGTCTCTGTGTCTCTTTTCCTCCTCTTGTTCCTTCAGAATCCTGTGAGAAACAGCAAGGTGAGTTAATCCCTGCTTTTAAAAAAGGTATTTTTTCTTGTTAAGATGAATTGATCCTGTGTAGATGACTTTTCTACAAATGTTGTTTCTTTAGAATATGTCTAAAATGATTTACAACACAGTGCATACTGTGACTTAAGATTTCTTCAGATGTTGTATTTTTTGATTTGTTAAATTTGAAGGCAGAAAATCAAAAGCTAACTGGCACATGTAAAAAATCCGTGCTCTGTTTTCCACTTTGAGATTAGAGGAGTTTAGCAGGACAATTTTTAAAACGTTTGAAGTCATTTGAACTAAATTCCAATAAAATGAAACCAAATACAACACGATAATCCATGCATTTACAAACAATTATGTGATTTTTAAATATAAGATGTTTTAAAATGTGTCACCGAGTGATCAGATATTATAGTTATTACATAGTATAGTATTGCCATCAATTATAAGATTTATAATCATCATAACTGTATTAATTTAAATCCAAATCAGAATGCTTATAGGTTATATTACAGATGCAAACCTGTAATTTACTCAGAGGTTTATAATTCAATTCAAAACTTTTGAAGTCAAATAAACACCCTTTTCTGAAGCACAGTTTTCCACTATGTGTATCCCTGGCCAGGGAAAAAATATAACCTTTTAGACAATTGTTTTGCAGGGAGACTATGTGTATTGGCTGTATATGCGCTACGGTGTAATTATCTATCTTTGTGCAAAAACAAAATCAAATAAGTGAAAATTTGATGAGTTGTATACATTGAGACATTGTTAAATATTTGCATTGACAAAATCAGCGTCTTTAACATTTTTGTCTTTTTGGATAATAGTTTCCTTCTTATACCTCTTATACAATTAAGATAACATAAAGATAAAAATAGCTATATATTTTACAGTTATTAATTCAACAAAATATTTCACATTTATGTATAAATTTCTTTCCATTATATATTATTATAAATTATTTTTAGCATTAACTTTATTCAGATTTTTTTTATTATATACGAGGATGGCACTTTTTCAGAAAGCAAACAGACAGCAGTTTGTTGTGTTAAACAGCTTTTTAACAAAATAGCAAATTCATGTATATTATAAAATAAACTATTTCTATTCATTTTGAAATGCATAGTTTGGTTTTCAAATGACCACAATGCATTCAACTAATACATAGTCTTATTTTTAAATAAGTGCTCAGTTGTAATATCTACAAGTTTTACTTGTTTGCACTTGTTGAAAATTTCTCCAATTCTGATTAATATGAATTGATATTTCCATTGTATTTTATTTTAGGAGAGACTACAAATGATCATGAGCAGCAATTTTGAAGATGGTATACATGAATTATGTCTCGTTATCAGGTATTGGCTTGCTGTTTCTGGATATGTATGGGTTAAGTAAATCAGCACGACATATTACTTTTACCTCTCTACTGATGCAAAAGTAATGTTTGAATAGCATGGCAGAAAGAGTGTGTCCCTTTCTTACTATTCATCATCTGGAACATCAATACTGCCAATAATACAATAATGTCTTGTGTCCACCATTTTGTGATGAAAACTTTATTGCACATGCTCCCATTTCACGAACTTCGGTTTCTATTCTTTAAAATCGGATGCCTTGAAAACAGTTTATTTGAAACATTGATCATTTTAATTAGGAAAGTAATTAGGAAGTTATACTTATTGGAAATATTTCTCTGATTATTTTCAGAAACATAGATTATGCACAGCTTGCTAATGCAAGTCAAACATCCTTAATTTTTAGGATAAATAGTGCAAATACTGTGCAGTGATAATATTGTATTATTTGTTCATGATTGTCCAACAATTGTTATTTCGAGATGTGCTACACCTTGCTATGAAAACTATGAAACTTAATTTTCGTGTTTGTGTTTGTGTGTGTGTGTGGGGGGGGGGGGGGGGGTGTCACACAGAGAGCAGAAAGTGGTGGTCACAGTCTATTGCCTGAGGTGACTGGTGGGGTCAAAGGCCAGGTTGTGTTAATAAGATGTGATGTGCTGCCCTGGGACCTCAGTCCCATGAGGGATAACCCCCTAATCGACGTTAGTTAATGTGTTAGTAATCTTTACCTTCTTAAAGCAAACAGCAGAGGAGTATTCAATGGGCCCGCTTGGCCTACCATGTAACGCTTTTGACCTAGGGGTCATGGCCTTTGTTCCCTGCTCGATGGGGAGTGCCCTCAAAGGTCTCGGGTGTAATAGAGAAGTTGTTTAGACACGTGCGGGGCTTAAGCAAGACCACCTCATAGACTCTGCTCCTGCTCCTGGAGAGAAGTAAGTCTTCCCTCATAGTCTAGGGATACTTTTTTGTGGTTAGTTTTTAACCTTTTGAATGAGTCCATTAGAATATATATGTTTTTATGTGCTACATATCATGTCTAGTATGTTGATATAGTGGTGGTTGCTGACCAAGCACAGAACCAGCCCTCTCTGCCGCACCCCCCAACCCCATCCCCCACCTCCTAATGCCTGATGGATATTTGCAAATGACTGAGTCCAAATATTGTTTGTCTTTGCAGATCTTCTGCCCACTACAATTTCATATTCGTCAAGCTCTCCTCACTGTTTCCTGTAGCTGTAAAAACAAAGCTATAGAAAGCATTGTCTATATAATACGTCCCCAATACTGTAATACAGAGTGTTTGCCAATTTCTGACACTTAAATATGTGTGTTTTCGTGAATGCAGATCGGCTACTCTTAATCAGTGTGACTAAAAGATTATTTAAGGTCCTCATATCCATATGATAATTTTGTGATATTAAATCTAATTATTATTTTACAGAGGTTGGATACATACACACAAAATCTATATTGCTATTCAATGTAGATCTTTTAATCATTTAGGTATTTATTCCACTGTAGAATATTGAAATATAAAATGTAATGTGCTTTGGGTGCTTTTTAGAAGATCCAAAACTTAAAAATGTTAAATACCAATAGTCTTCTGACAGATTTGCATTAGAAGTATTTTGTTTCTAAAAAAATTATACTCAAATGATGTCGGGCAGAGTCCATAACATGGCGCCGTCCGCCATTTTCTTGCACATTGTGTTATCACTTGGCTTTACTGACTGATTCTGAATCACACAGATGTTGTAGCCATGTACTCCAGATGAAAAGCTGTTGCTTTTCATTATTTGTATATATGTATGTAAATCAAAGAACAGTTACAATTTTCTGTCATTGCTAATACTCTAACAATGTTCATCTTATTTGATCATTTAATCTGAAAAGATATTAGTAGTAAGAAGTAAAAATAGCAAAGGTTCACACCTTTTAACAATATATTTAATCTGAAACAGATTTATTTAATCAGTTTAAAAAGTCTCAATTAGTTACTAAAATATAAAAAAATTTGGACTGTAAAATGAAAACGTTATCAATTACTGGGAAATGCAACAGAGGAACAATGTTGAGGAGCACAGTGGTAAGAGTGACCCGAAACCAAAACCGTATCCTTAAATGAACTTTATGCCATGCAGTGCAGTATGTACACCAAGCATACTGCAATACTCAATACAATACTCTCTACGAAAGCTACATTTAATGTGTGGAACTCCTTCTGTTTTATGATCCAAGTTATTCCCAAATAAGGTCTCTTAACATATACACATTACAGCTTTATGCATCAAAGCCATAATGAAGTTATGGGTTTCTCAATTGGTTAAAATGCATGGCGAGATGTGACGTACAGCTGCACTCCTTCTAATAGGATTCTATAGCTTATGCCAGTGTAGATGCCTGAACCAAGCTTGTATCTCTTTAGGGAAGAAGGACAGAGAACAAATAAATTGTTAAAATTATGCTGGTATTTTCCTCTGGTTGTCTGCAAATTGTCTGTGTTTGGCCACCTGTGTTTTTATTGAAACCTGTGGAGCAAAGAGAATAGAGGGGAAAATATTTTTTTGGGAGAATCCAGTCTCTGTGCTACTGTAGTGACGGAGAGAGCCGGAGAGGAACGGGGTGGTGGCCGTGCTATGAAAGCAGCCCTCACAAACTGTGCAGCCTGAAGCAGTTGCAGCCATGTACAAATCTGCGTGAGCTTCAACCCCACTAATAACGCAATGCTCTCCAAAACCAACAGAAAGTTTTCACAGAGTAAATGTAATAAAAGTTTAACCCCCACCTTTTTTTCTTTCATTGTCTCTGCTAGGCATGTAGTCCCCTCTTGCCCTCTTTAATTGTCAGCAGTTTATAAAGCAGAAATGCAATCAAAATAGTTCCTCAGTAAAAGACCCACTTTACATATCTCCTTCCTCCTTTTCTTTCCTTATAGAGCTCCTGTAGTTCAAGGCTGAGGGGAAAAAGTTGGAGCCACGAGCTGCCTTTGCAGTTTTTAGAACCAGAGCCAAAAGAGGCAGGAAGTTGTTGTACAATAGCGTTACAGTAATCTGCCACAAATGGAAAAAGCCAAATGGTGATCGTCGAGTAGAGAAGGTGGCAGAACAGAGGCAGAAAGAGGGAGGGAGGGACAGAAAGGGAGAGAAAGCGAGCTAGTGTGTGTAAGAGAGACAGACGTTACAGCAAGAATAATCAATACAATCTAAGATGGTGGAAACAGCCATGCTGTTTAGGTCTCTCCCTCTGGTTAACTCTCTAACTCTCTGGCTTGCATATTGTTTATGTAAATCAGTACATGGATTTGGTTAGGACAAATTGTTTAGGCAATCTGATTTTCTTTATATCCCTCCTATTTTCAACAGGACGAATCAGCATCTCTGGGAGGGGGTTTCTAGAAATTTTCTCTGAACTGTTGAATGAGCTTTACCGGGCAAGTGGCAGCTGTTTTTCCTCGAGGAAAAGCAGTGAAATCTCACCCAAAAATGCTTATCAGTCTTTTGACTTGGTGCCAAAATAGCTGCAAGGGTTCAGCTGCAGCGTTCAGCTTGCTTTGTGACAGAGCCGAAGCAAGGAGGAGGGTCCTTGCTGTGCGTTCTTTGCTACATGTTACTGAAATAAATACTGTGGAAGCTTATCTTTTTTCTGAGTGTGTGTGTGTGTGTGTGTGTGTGTGTGTGTGTGCATCTGGTCTATTCTGTGCATTCATTCTATTCACTCTGGCAGGCTAAAGAGTTAATGCACTCCAAGAGTATGTGCTCCTTTCAGAGTGTGCTCCCAAGACTGTTGCAGCGACAACAGCCCCACTACAGTAATAGATAAGGTTAATAATTCAACCATCTCTCAAAAGTGTTGCATATTTTAAAGATGCTTAAGTCAGGCAGTCCATTCAGAATGTATTCTCTTTTTCCTCGCTTTGCTTTTCACTAGTTGATATAGTAGCTGAGGTGCTGTATAGTGTATCCCAGTATGGCGTGTAAGTGTGTGGACTGCGTCTGCGCACTACTGGAGGAGTGGATTTCTGTGTCATTCTTCCTTCTCCACCCCTCCCACATTTAGTGCTTACCTCCCCCCCCCCCCCCCCCCCCTCTCTCTCTCTGTCCTTCTGTGTCTCCATCTCCCACCCATCTTATGCTCCCTCCCTCCTCCTCCCCTGTCTCCAGTGCAAATACATTTCCTTGCTGTGTTGGACATGTGATGAAAAAGTGACTGGTTTGCGCGCTCCACCGCACCTCCTATTTCATCATCAGCAGAGCATTTTTCCCATTCACTGTGCATCCGCTGTCTCCTCCTCTCTTTCTCCCTCTCTTCTTTTTCTCTCTCTGTTTCGCTTGCTCTCCTCTTTCTGCTCCAGCCACACGCAAGGGGGAGACTTAAGCTCTGCGAGGGGGAAAAAAAGAAAAAAAAAAGTCTGCTGCTATTTCTACAGTCAGGGCCTCCCCACAGCCCGCCCTTCCATAGATGGAGCTTTTTTTTCACTCACTACTAGCTGGATTTTAACCCTCTGCCTCCAACTAGCTACAGCAGCTCTGCAAAACCTGGCAACAAGTTGCTTTTTTGGGGGCCTTTTTGTACTTTCAGCGCATTGATTTTTACATCACTTTGGATTTTGGCGCTGTTTCTTCTATTCTTCTGTATTTTGTTTTCTAAAAATATACTGCGTTTTCCTGTTTTTTTCTCTGCTGATGTGCTTCTAGTAGTATTCATTTAGTTTCTCTCTTTTTGGATGGAAATTCGTCAAGGTGGTGTTTCGCCATGTAATGGGCCTTGTTCCACCTGGAGTGCTGGGTGCCATTTGTTACGGGTCACCTGCTTGTGGTGGGTTTGTGGTCTCGATGACCACTATGGATGACCTGCAGAACAGGACCTGAGCGTGGTACACATCTGTGTTTTAAAGACATTCATCCTTCATCAGTGCTGGCAACTGGCGTGAAGTACCTCCTTCGGCTCTACTCTCTGTCTCTGTGTCTCGCTCTCCCTTGTTCTCTCTCTTTCACACCGACTCGCTTTCCTAAGGAGAATGAGTGGTGTGCTGAGCCCGAGCTCTTTCTGGGACAGGTGCCAACTGCAAACAAAAGACATTAAAAGGCAATAAGAGAAAAAATGAGTAATTGCGAAATTTAAAATTGTTGCGGCAGAATGTCAGAAGTAGCCCTGCATGTTGTATCTCTACATGGCCACTTTGTGCTATTATTGCATGTTTGTCGTTCTAATCATGTTTGTCGCTCTAATCATGTAAGTATTAAAGTGATTTTTACAACCAAGACGGTTGTAAAGCAGACGTTTGAATACTTTGCACACTTATTCTAGTGTCGGCATTTCATTTGGGAAGATGGAGGGAGTAATGTGGGAGAGCAGCATATAGACTGCTGAATTATTCATGTGCCCAGCCAAGGCTGTGACTGGACTGGCTGTGCTATTTGCATGCATCAGACATGGTGTTGTCTGTTTGCTAACATTCCTCATTCAAAGACGTGTTAACTAGCAGAGGGGCTTAGCTGGAGCCTTACAGACAGCCTCATGGCCTCCTATTGTTTCAGGCCTCACCAGACCTGGATCCAGCCGGTGGCAGGCGAGCCGTGCACCCCTGAGCTTGGGGCTCAGACTGTAGCTGGAAGAGGGAGTGAGACTGAGGCTCAGGCTGGAGCTGGGGCTGAGGCATGGCTGTGAAGGGGACAGTCCGAGGGAAATCACTGGGTCTTGCAAGACCCACTAAACGGGAGCTTATGGCTGTCTCCACTTCGTGACAGAGATGTGGATCAAAGCGGGAAGATCTGTCGATGTCCACATCCCGACTAGATATTCACCATCTTTGCTTTAAAAAATCGGTGAGTAAAATCTGTTTTAATATGTGTACTCTTACGTGGTTTATCTGTGTGTTTACTCCTTATGCTTTCAATGTTTAACATGCACCCTGTACAAATAAACATTTGATACACTTGAGGTTCTTACACAAAGTTTCTTTTTACATGAGTGCGCAATTATACCTCTGAATATAAAACAATACATGCTCATGTAGTTTAGGAACTTATATTATAGCAAATATGACAGTGACAGAGCTAATAACTTTAAAAATGATTCCTATAACTTTTCTCAGCCCTCCACAAAACCTATTTGTAATTTAGTAATGCAAAACCAAAAGTTATTAATAGCACTTTGATTGCTGCCAGGATAATCCTACTTTGAGGTAATCAGAAGATGAGTGGAAATCCACGGTTGTGGAGGTATTTCATATGAGTGATGTGGTCCAGGTTTAGTATGCACTGTATGAAGAAGTACGTGGTGTACTGATAGCTTTGATGTGTTTAATGTTCTCAAAAGCTTATAAAATAGCCCATCACCACTCTGCCACTTACCTATATACATCTGATTTTATTGATGATCAACTTATTTCCTCATTTTTTATTATGGATCTTTACCATACTACTTTGAACATGGGATTTCACAGGCTTTGTGTTTTGCATAGGAACATTTTGTGTTGTTTAACCAGTCATAAAGCAGTGTGTTGTGAAATGATGAAGTTTGACTTTACACAAGTTACTTTGGATAAAACTTTAATTTTCTTTGGCTCATTAGGCTGTTTGTCAGGTACTCGATAGTTAACTTTACCAAATTAATGGAAAATTCAGGTTGCATTAGTGATTGAGACATTTATATAGTAATTTACCTATGTATAACATTTAATTTGTAGTGTTGCCTGTAAGAGGAATCAAATATATAGTATCACAGTTTTGTATATCATTTATTAAACCTGACATATTAGCTATTGACTTTTTTGTTCTAATGTCTGCTCAGATGTTAAACTGCCTGTCAGGGTTTATACAAAAAGGCCAACCTTAGCCAACCTGATACACAAAGCTTTCAGGTGATTCAAGATTTAGGTTCAGCTTTTCGATACATGATGATGGTGATTATGTTCATTCATATGAATATAAGTTCTACTTAACTAGCAGTGGACGCATGGTTTTGGCTGGCAGAGTATACTACTCCACCCCTAAGGCCTTTTTGGCAGTGGATGGCAGGGGTCCAGTTGAAGGTTGCATGTTGAGAGGCAGATGGCAGGGGGGGTGAAGATTTGCAGTATTTTCTCTCTCTGTAAACGTATACGTGACCAATCCAACGGCCTCATACAGCCCACAATGAAGCATTCTGTGCACTGAAGCAAACTTCAGCTTTACTGCAGCTACACAGCTAATACAGCAAAGCCAATAATGGGACACACACACTTGCAAAAACAAGTACAAGACCAAACTTTGTGCAGGATGTCAGATCTTAATACTTTTACAACAATATTGAACATAATTTTATATTCTTGGCTGTTTTTGCCCTTTCGGTGTGTTCTTTGTGAGTGTGAGTTTGATGAAATGGTATGTTCAAAGTGTTAATTCTGTAAAACCTGTAACATTGAAAATGCCATTTAAATAGATATTATCAATTATCGAATGATTTTTTATTTTTTTTATTTTAAATACATGGGTAGCAGTGTTTCATGAATATGCTTCAAAGGCAGAGCTAAAGGAAACTGCAGGGAAGCTAGAACAACAAGTTCCAAAAACTTGAACTTGAATGAGACATTCTGTGTTTTAATGAATTGTATAAGAAACCAGCATTTTTATATGTTTTTTCTGAAGATGCAAAAGTTACGACAACACCTAAAAACCTTTTAATGCTCAAAGGTATGAACCGAAAAATACCAAAACTGGAACTGTAGAAATAAATAATACATTATTTAATGAATTATTATTACAGTGTTCACAATAATTGTAAGTAATCATTAATATATTTAATTCCAGCTTTTTTTTTTAAACTTGAATTATTTATGGTTTACCCTTAATGTGCTTTGTTTAATTTGTATTTAATTTAAACATGTTTGCATTTCATTTTAAAATAGTATCATTAAAAATGTAGTATATAGAGAGAAATATAGGGTGCTCCCTTATTTTTTTTTAAACAATACATTTTTCAAGTTCAAGCTCAGGTTCTGTCTGAAGAACCAAAACGAGAATACTTTGTCTATATAGACAACAATATAGACATACCAAAATAAGTGTATATGATAAGATAAATGTATGTTTTCACAGCATTGCTTTTAGCGTAGAAAATACAATAATGGTTCACGAATACACAGCATCAGAATATTTTGGTGTGTGTGTGTGTGTGTGTGTGTGTGTGTGCGTGTGTGTGTGTGAGAGAGAGAGAAAGAGAGAGAGAGAGAATGCATGCATGCGTGCACTCATGTGTGTTCTCCTTGTTTACTGGATCACTTGCAGGTGATTTTTGTAAATTGTTGTGAATTTTTTTTACAATAATGAGGTTTTTGTAATATTGCCTGTTTTGTTCATTTTTGATAGCCAATCCACAAATATATTAAGTGTTTCATTAATTTTCATGAAACATTTTAAGTTATTTATTTGTTTATTTCAAACAATTCTCATTTACAACATTTAGTTTGTCCTAATTCTTATCTAGTTATCTTAGACTAGTGTCGAGGAAAAAAAAAGTATACCCAGGACTCTTTAAATGATTTGATGATCATGAGGATCCCAATTTCTCCAAAAATTGTGTTATTTGTTATTCTCAATAATGATAAGAGTAAAAAGAAGACTCGTGTAGATAAGAAGATTGAGCAACCTCTTCTTACGTATTTCACACAAAATTATTAATTAACAGATAAGAACAATACAATTCAGGGGTGTAATATTATTTTTTAGTTGTGTAATCCAAATAGAGATGCAAGATTATTTTGATCTTGAATAACATGTTTCCTGTTGTAGATTTTAATGGCCATGTGTGGTGTCTCCAGATCTGAGTATTTCTGCCAGATACTTTTGAAGTGTTGAGTATGTGGTTTAAGTCACGTGCCAGTACTCAGTGTATTCTTACTAGTGAAACACAGTGAAAATTAGTCATTCACCAGTACAACACAACAATAAGCCACCAATACACTGCTTCATTTGTTAAGTGGATAAATTGGTATTTAAGATTATGTGATTTTGTTTCATTTATGAGCTTGCTGTGATGTTGTGAATTCCATCCAATTTCCTCCTGGCTAATATGAAATCCAGATTGGAGTGGTGAATGGTAGCCAAGTGAGCACTCACTGTAAATATATTTTTCAGCCATAATAATGAAGGCTCTTTTATTTCTCCTGCTAAAATGGGTTCAGTGTACTGTTTTAAGTACAATAAACCTGAGAAACCCGGCAAAATGAAAGTTATATTGTGTGTCTGAGCTCTCTGGAGGGCTGTGAGGCTTGATTGACATACAGTACTGCTTAGGCTGCCTGTACATAAACTGTATGTATCTAGTCCTGTAAGAGGATTTTCATCAGTTCATTCATTTTATATTCTATATATCTAACCAGGAGAGAATTATATAATATGCATTTATTGTCAACAATGTGGTATTTTAAAATGAGATTAATACATTTGATATTTCATTATTATTTGATTTTTAAGTCATTTTAAAGAAATGTGCTTTTTTTGATCACTGGATGTATTATTGCTATAAACCGATAGGTAGGTAGGTTTATTGTCACAACATAACAAGTTATAGAGTGAAATTGATTTTTGTAGGCCATAAATGTAGGCATTTAATGTGGAACTCTCTCACCGACACATTCTCAGAAGTAGCCACATTTTCCAATTCTTCATTTTTTAAGTTCAAGTAAGTGAATTCACATGTATGAAATGAAGGTCATGGTGGAAAAATCGGAAATGATATTATGCATGTTGAAAATATGTTTATATAGGTTATCAAAATAACGACTTGGCAGTGTCAACTTAGAGTTAGGTCCAGTATTCTCACTGAAACACTATAAGCAGTGGTGCAAAGTAAGTAACACTATGCAGCAAGTTAGCACAGGCAGGTCACTGCTTGTGGAAATGGAGATGGATTTAATTTTCCCACTTTGGCAGCTAGCACATCTAAAGGTCACAGTGCATTCTGCAAATGCGTGTAAGAAAATTGCTTATATTTAACCGTACTATCATAGTAACATTTGCTTCAGGCTTTTATTTAGCAGTTGTCAGTGGAAAACCTTGTTCAAATCTCTTCAATATAAAGGACAGTCTAGTCAGATCGGGTCTCTGTGGTAGAAGCTGGCCTGGCTCCCTGTTGCCCTCCTGTACTTTGAATGAGGGAGAGCAGAAGAGTGGATCTACAGTGGCCACTACAGGCTGTGGTACACTCGTACAGGATCAGCACTACAGTACAGTAGGAAGTAGGCCAGGCCAGAGGAGCGAGGCTGGACAAAGAGTTCCCAATACGTATACACACACATAAACTGTATATTTGGGGCTGGTGTATTGTATGCAAGTGCCAAAATTATTGCACAAAAGCACAAATTCCAAGGCTCAATAAACAAAATAATTACAGACATATATGCCAATGCAGTCACACATACCACACTTATGCACATACACACCAAAGTCTCTAAACCTGCTTTTCCTCACTTTTCTCGCCATACATGGAAGCCATTAGTCCATTACCCAGTTGACTACTGAGGATTGGGGGCCATTTTATTCCCCCTGTGTTAATCAGGATGTCAGCTGGGAGTGTCACATGTAATTTATCCACAAAACCACAGCAACTCCACAGAGACGGTGAGCACAGTCATAATGACATAATATTGGACTGAGGGAAAGTTTTCGGGGGTGACAGATGATGTCGATTTTCCTCCCCTGTACATCCCTCTCTTTTCTTCCAGACGTTCTGAAATGAGACCTGTGCAACTTTCACCTGGTTGCTTTACATCATAGGCCCTTTGGCAGAGATCAAGGTGTTTTTTTTCTCGAGTTTATTTACCCAAGGACAATTTTCTTACAGAGTCTTACTGTGCATTTAAACAACTAAGCATTTAAACATCTTTTTTACGGAATTTGTCAGACGTTTGACAGGCAGAGTGGTTTCTTTCACCCAACCAGATAGATTTTTAGAATCATTTAAATAAAACTTAATGGTTTCTTTGCCTATGACCACTCAATGTATTCAATATATGTTTTGGAGACTCTTTAGTCTGTGGTCTACAGCATCACGTGTTAGTGTCTCTCAGCACACATCGTCAGGATAGATACTTGTTTTATGTACCTGCCAGGCAAAGCGATATTCCAGATAACGCTAGGCTGCGCCCACTCAACTTTTCTTTTCCAACACTCATATATTTCTTCAGCTTTTGGCCTCCGCTGTTGCCAAGGCAATTTAGTCAGAAAAAAACTGCAGAATCTGCAAAATTGTTCCACTTGGAGGTAGAGTTGGAAGTGTTGAAAGGCCTCGCCTACAACTCTCTGACTATCAAAATACTGTAAATCCCTTGCCTCACCTCACCTCCACTTCATCACTTTCTTACTGTTCATCAGTGCTGAGCTGAATTATGTTAGCTACGTTTAGTGATAAAAACAAGTACACTGGCTTGAGCTACCTTTGTGTTATTCATTTCGGCACAAAAAAAATTATATTGAAGGGGGCTGAACGATTTTGAAAACATATTTAATTGTGGTTATTATGACTGATATTGCAATTGCGATATGACTTGCGATATTGGACAGAATGATAATTTTTACATTATTACTCTCATTTTCATTGAAAAACATTAAAATTGTTGATGTGTGATTTTTGAGGGGATTTATACCAAACAAAGATGTTTTCTTAAGTCTGTAGAATATGATGTGTAGGCCAGGACATCTCTGCAGCACAACAATATTTTTACACACATTGCACTTTTAACAAATATTGCCTGTCCGTGTTGTGATTCGATAAAATTCTGATTAATTGTTCAGCCCTAATGTTGAATACACTATGGGCTTTGATATGTCATTACCTACATTTTATTTTACTGATTTGACTGCAATTCATATAAATATATATATATATGCAGCCCTCCATGTGGTATATACTAATATACTGTAGACTATCCACACAAACAACACACAGTGAGCGCACAGCTCGGACATGTATCTCATGAATCTCTCTCCACGGGTTGGGGGACTTCTGTTACTCATGAGCCCACAAACATTTTCTGGCGGCTGTCCACGGCACTGCACTGTAATTACAAACGTTAGAAACAATATATAAAAGACCCTTACCCGGCAAGGCTGTGTCCTGCACTGCAATTAGCGTCCTTGTACAGAATTATCACCCTTCAGCAGCCGTTGTTGCACTGAATGGAGGACTTTAATTGCCAGTGTCCTCCTTGGTCTGGTTATCTAGAGGATAACCCATAGGTCTGTATTTATCTCTATCCCACTCTTTATTTTCCTGCAGTCTGAGATTTGACTAATGATGACTAACTACCTCAGTTGATCTTTTTCCCTTTTCACTTCCGCATGATTTTCCTGGCATCACACGCCTACGTATGTACGGACTAACACGGGCACATGTCAAAAGCTATACATTAACACTGAGCAGTCTGTACATGACCTGTGTGAACATGAACATACCGTGCTGCATGTGCAGAAAAACACTTATTATGCTCACAAGTGCACGCATATGCCCGCTTCACCCACGCACATCACACTGTAGGCTTTCAGTAAAACAGCATGCCGATGTGTGTGCACGTATGCAGCGAGTGGGTGCTACTGGGCTAGGCCAAGGCCACGGTGGAGCTTGTGTGTTGGCTGTTGGGTGAGCATGCGGCAGTAAGAGTTGGCCAGTGTACAGGCCAGCAGAGAGGGTGCGGTGTGTTACATGTTCCACTAATGAGTTTCCTTGGCCAGGCAAGACCGTGGGGCGAGCTTATTAGTAAACAGGCTACAGAGAGGAGCCCCTACAGCCCTCTGCTGCTGCTGCTGTTGCTGCTGCAGGCTCTCCAACCGATCACTCTCTGTTTGTGCTTCTCTCTATTGTTTTCTCTTCCTTTTCATTTCTGTTGGAGTAAATTGTCTCTCCCTTCGACTCTCCAATTCTCTCTCTCTCTCTCTCTCTCTCTCTCTCTCTCTCTCTCTCTCTCTCTCTCTCTCTTGTAGGCAGTAAAATGGGTTTTGACTTCAACCACAGGCACAAACAATTTGGCCAACAAGTAAAATCACGGACAGTCAGACTGGCGATTGCAGCAGGATTGTAAGTACCATAATGTATTGTAAATTTAATATGTTGTTATTTAATGGTGCATTGTGATGGGGTTGTATTGTCTTGCATTTCATTTAATGAGATGAAGTCTCTAATTAGATGCTGTATATGTTTCATTTGTTATATTCATGGCATGTAACTGCTCTGTCTACATCTATTTTCTTGTCTTTCTGACACTTATAATATGAGCCTGCATTAGATTAAATCATAATGGCTGTACATTGTTTCTTTACCCCATTTAAAAGGCCAAGTGGTCCCAATGGCTAGTGCAGTAGATTTTATAAAAAAAAACAAACATCATCTTTAGTCCATATGCACAGAAAACAGTCAGGGTGTAATCTTAATTGTCCACTAGGCATAGGAGGTCTTGACTCTCTCCGTGCCGGGGCCTGGGTCTGTTAGAAAATGGCTTCCACTCTCTGCCTTCCAGCTCTCAGCTCCCCACCGCCATTTTGTGTATCGCTGCCAAAGTAGTCAGGTAGCAGGATGAGAGAGAGGGAGTAAAGTGGGTGAGAAAAAGCGGGTGCATCTGGATGCTGGGTTAAGGAATAAATTAAAATAAACAGCGAGAAGTGGTAGGAATTGGAGAAAAAAAGGTGCTCTAATGTACAGTGATAGAATACATAATATGTCTTTTTCTGATGAGATGCTTTTAATTGTTGCCGACTGACTGCATACAAACAACCTGCCTCCCCTCTGGACCCTTCCCATTTCTTCTTCTCAAAGAGCTGACCTTGGGTGGACGCCATAAACGGTTCTTTTCCATTGGGGCAAAGGAGCTGGCAGGGCTCACAGCTGCATGACCCCCTTCCACCCTCCACCCTCTCTATCCTCCACACCACTCCTCAGCAGTCTGGCCCCCATAGTAACACAACCTGCCCACTTATAGTACTCTAGAGCCTGGGTAAAGCTTTAACTTCTGCTCATGTACCTGTCTCCACCCTAACCACAACACACTGTTAGCTGTAGCTTCAACCCCGACCGTGGCCATATCATATACACTTAGTAACCCCAGGCCCCACCCTACAACCTCTAGCTACAGTAGCTAGCTGCCTGCGGCTCTGGAATTCTGAATGTGCCAGGCATTTGATTACATGTGCAGATGTTATTAAAACCCTTCTCTCGTCTGACCCCAAGACCACATATACTAAATAGAGCTTTCAGTAGTTGTCTGCTGCCGCTTTTCTCTTGATCAGTCCATTGCTAAACTTACATGACAAAGTCACACAGAATTAGCAAGTATTTCAGCATGCTATGTTGAGTGATTGTGGAAGATTAATGGAAAGAGAACTAACATTTCAGGAATTGTTTTTATCAATTGAGCTACAGTTACAGAAAAATAACATTTACTCAATATACATGTAGCCCAATTTACTATTGGAACTATTTCAGTTTAATAACCCAATATCCATCTGTTGCACAGTGAATTTCTTCCATCATATGTTGAAATTATCTTTATGGAGAGCTGCTAACTTTCTTTCTCACTGTCACTCAACGTAGTAGAAGCAGAACCTGGGGCAAAACATAACAGCATAGACAGAAAAAAACTCCGTTACTGTATCAGTGTGTATCTCTGCTGGCATGTAACGGATTTAGACTCTGGGTGCAAAATATAGCAGAGGTCCCTCCAGCAGCAAGACCTGGCCTATTTAGTCACAGACAAGCTCTCATTGAGACAGACAGACAGTCATTGGCTTTGCCAACAGTTTAGAATGCACTCTGTCCCCTTTGGCTCCCAACTCCTTAATCTGACCATGTGTTTGCATATGGGACAGAGTGGCCTCCATATTGTGTTTGTGGAATGAATTATGAATGTTGTTGCATAACCGTAGCCTGTTTCTAGGGCATATCTCTACAGCATCTACCCAGAGACCAAAGCATGAATACATTTACCCGCCCTGGACCTCTTGGAAATGATACTGTAAAGCTGGCCTGCCTGCGTTTGTTTATGGTTATATAGAGCAGATGGCCATGCAACATGGTCACATATTACACACTGGCTGCCTCACTGGCACTGCCACCCACACAAATGCTTATAGGCAGAAATGCAGGCGTATTTGAAGGGGATTCAAATCCACAGAAATGCATTCATTATTATTTTATAACTCACAGAGGGAAAAATTTTAAATCTCTTTATCAGAGTACATTACTGTATATTCTACTTCATGCTGGCAGCAATCCTGGAACTATAGGCACTGGTGCTAGTAACTGCTGCCAAATCAAGCTTTTCACTGCTAACTGTAGTTAACTGTGCTTTATTTACAGCCTTAGCTTTCAGCTATAACTGCTAACCACTGTAGTGAGTCTACAGCCAGCTGTAGCCTGGGAGTAACAAGCTCTTCAAGGTTACAACGTGCACAGATCCCTGTTTGCCTACTCTGTCTGTCAGCTGAAGTTCATATCCAGGGAGAAAGGTATTTGTCCCACCCTCTAAATATATCTGGCGACAGATGCAGCTCGATGGGGCACTGCCCAAGCTGAAAGGGGCCCTGCAGGCAGGCCAGAGCAGAACTGGGCATGCAGACGTGTCAGGACTATAGACTTCTCCTAATAGACAGGAGCCCTACAGGTCACCAGCAGCCACATGGCAATGCACATTTCACAAGCTTCCATTAGCATGGCAACACAAAGAATGAGCCTGTGAATCTTTTTATAAGTAAAAATAAACAATATTTAATGTATTTCTACGAGATGTATATTGACATAGTGCATTGACAAAAAAGATAAAAATTTGTTGAACTTTGTGGATAATAACATCATCTTCAAATGGACTGCACTCTGGAATTTGTACTCTAGCTTGATGTCCTTTGGTACGTGACTACAATTCATTCAAATCATTTACATTTATTCATTTGGCAGATGCTTTTATCCAAAGCAACTTACATTTGAGGAACAACATACAAGCATCAACAGAGCATCAAATACAGTACGAGATCTTCAACTGACAATACACTGAGCAGTCTGCTTAGTAAAAGCAGCAATAAATACTAGTAAGCGCTATTGGCACATATTGCATCAATGGGGTAAATACCTAGGGAAGGAAGTAAGAGTTAGCAAAAAGTGCGATCAATACAAGATAATTGTAAGGGGACAGAAGAAGAAGAGCACAGGAAGTGCATGTTAGGAGTTAGAGGTGTTATAAGAGGAAGTGTTCTCGGAAGAGATTATTGACGTTAGAGAACGACGCCCCTGCTCATCACAACCTTATTCAAGGCTAGTTTTAACCTTATAACTATAACTATAACATTTGATCAAAAGACAGATTTGTTGTTTTTTTTGCCTGGTGTGAACTACAGGGGAGCCAGGGGGCCTTGGCTTCTCTTAATATCACATGAGCTCCCCTAAAAACATGATTTGAGACATTTTTGGTGGGTCTCTAAAATACTGACAATATGCTATTTTTGCCATGCATTGAAATTTTTTTTGTATCTTCATCGTCATGGATTGTGCGTAAAATTAAGCTATTATTGATGTATGCATGGGGGTGATTCATCACTAATTCACGTTAATAAAGATACCGGCATGCATACTGTTCTGTCATCACCATGGGAGCGTGGCTATGCAATCTCATATAAACATATCTTCCCACCTCATCTCTGTGTGTGAGGGAGTTTTCTATCGTTAATGAAACTGACTACAAGGCCCACAAAAACGGCCTTATATCGTTCTTTTTTGTGGCTCTTAATGGACTCCCTTTGGCAAGATTCGGCATAACACCTTTTATCACCCCCCACGAGCCCTGGTATACATCCTGCATGTTTACTTGTAGATGTAGATGTACACACACGTGCAGGCAAGTGTGTGTATGTTTCTCTATGTACATGTGACTATATACTGTATGACTGTATACTGTGAGAGATGAGAAGCAGCTGGCAAGGTTGGGCTGAATGGTCTGGTCGACCCCTGCTGCGTGCCCTGTCATTACAATGATTGGGGTCATTTTTTACCTCTAAAGATGGGGCCAGGGGGCCGCACTGGGATCAACTAACTTTGCCTAATCCAGCCCTCCTCACCTGGCATGTTTATGGCTCTGCTGGGGGGTGGAGGAATGGAGGTGGGGTAAGTCACTGGGGCCGGTTCATCTCACCGCCTGACAGGCAGACACACATATTATGCACATATGTGTGAGTACATACACACTCCATCACACATGTATACATATGTTGATCCACATACACAAACACCTCACATACACATGTGCACACAGTACCAAACACCTTCTAATACACACATAAACTCCGTCTTCGTTCACTCTTCTGACATGCACTCACACAAGGTTTGCAAGCTCAATATCTGCTTCATGCAGAGGTGACGGGGAGGTCAGCCTGTCTGACTTTGAGCAGAATCCCCCTGTGGCTTGCCCCAGCCATCCCCCCTGGCATGTGTAACAGGACCTGCCCATGCAGCCTCCTCTTCCCCCGCTCCTGTCCTCCCCCTCCTTCTGCTGCCTCCCCCCTGGCCCTGGTATAAATAGATGGGTCATGCCTGCTGTGTTACCCAGAGGGGGCTGTGTGGGGGAGCACAGAAGCCATGCTTCCTTTTATAAATGCTCCACCGTGTCTATCTGAATTCTTCCTGTCTGCACCCAAGCACCACTTAACTTGTAGCAGGGCACTCATGTAGATGTATACAGACAAGTAAGAAATGCATGCAACCAAACGTCCTGACCACATCCCTGATATAACGGAAGCCACACATGTATAAACATAAGGACTAATGAGTACATATACCGTGCATAGACATATTTGCAACTCAACCATAAGCACTCATTGAAAGTTGTGGCATCAAAAGGCATCAACAAAGGCTAGGCTCAGGAGAAGGGTATGGCTGGATTCATACCAAATCAGGCATTGATTAGCACAGGGTTGTGCAATGGTGTGCGGTAGATGTGCTTAGAACCATACCCATGTGAAACAATCAGAAAATAGCATTTTGTTTCTCTGATTCACCACCTTTCTTACTACCCCTGCTCCCTCTCTTCATTCCCTCTCTAGCTCGCTCAACCACCTCTGCTCTCTCTCTCTACCCCTCTCTTGCTCTTTCTCTCTGTAAAGTACACATTAAGTCATACTCTGTAAAAGGAATACAGCCTAAATTTGAAGAAGAGTGCCATTTCTTGAACCTCAACAAGTTCTCAAATAAAGATGGAGAGTGAGCTACAGTGATTAGACTTTCGACACTGGATATCATTTGAATTTTTTCTATATTAGTGTCAATGTAAAACCTGGGTTTTTGTATCAATACCTTACAGTACCTTCAGGAATACAAACAAGTTTTTCTACAAAACTATGAATCCAAGTAGACATTTAATGCCAACTTTCTGCACAATTTTGCAGTTCTCCTATCTACCTAAAAAGTATTAAAGTTTGATACAATGCCCTATTTATGGATTCTGCTAGAAGGTCAGTGGATGTGCATGGTGCCTTTATTTAACTGTGGTGCCACTTTGGCCAGGACTCTCTCGAAAAAGAAAGATCTGGATCCATCCTTGTAAAATAAAGATTGAATTAAGAAAATGTTAAATGTGTTCAAGCCCACAACCCTAAAACACAGGTCAAGAATCTAGAACCTAGACTAGTGGGACAGCATACACTAAACAAATGATTTAATCATAGTGTGGTGGATGAGTAGAAATTTACAGAAAATATTGAAGACTGGGAATACATATTGTGTAAATGTCCAGCTTCATCTTCCGAATTACCTCCTGCACTGAATGACCCTAAAGATCAGGTTACAAGTTAACAGCACTCCTTTCCATCTTACTATCACTGCAGTGAAACTCAGATTCAGTATTGATTGATAGGCGTTATAGCACTTAAACTGTAAGTATGATTGAGTTAAAAGTGGCTTTAATTGTTTAACAGTGTGTGCCTTCAACCGTGAACGCTGTGTGAAAATGTAATGAGGTAAATTAATATCACGTTTTGCCATTTCCCTCTGAATGGTATTTTTCCATTTTGTGTGAATGGCTGTGCACATGCGCATGTGTTTGAAACTGTGTCCTTGTGCGCGTGCATGTATTTGTTTATGCGTTCATTTGTCCATGTCCCACAGTGTGAATCTGTGTCTGTGACATTAAGAGACGATGAGGTGTAGAAAGCAAGACTTTGCACCCCAGCCCTTCTACACAGCTAATGGAGGTGCAAGGCTGAGGCAGTGTATCAGTTACAGACGCTGTGAAGGAGTGCATGCTGAGTTTGCATAATTTTAAGAAGGTTGAATTTTCCAGTGGACAACCTCCTAAATTAGTCGTTTTAAGATTGTATTGCATAACTGTATAAAGAGCCTTAAACAAGTGTGCACGTGTGTGTGTGTGTGTGTGTGTGTGTGTGTGCTTGCATTGCATATTGGTCCTCTGCAGTAAGTGTGTGTGGGTGCAAGTGTGAATATTTCCCTGTCACTGGATGATAGCAACTGGCTTCACTTGAAAGCAATAGCTTTCCTGGACATGCACTATGTTGGTCAGGACCCCAGAGCAATCTACTATATTAGATTGAAGTATGTCCAGTCAGCACACTGAGAGGACAGTGTGCCTTGACCTTACCTTATGAAATCTGGACCCCACATTGCTGAGAGTTTTGCAGGGCTACACAATGAGAATAGACTGTGATGTGAATGGCTGTATGCTTTACGCAGAGCAGACAGTTTTCTATATGTAGTTAAATCAAGATATACTAAATATGTTGCAAAATATGTTGCAAAAATGTGATGTGCAATTTAATTTGTGGTTAAGGTTTCCTGCAAAACAGTAATCTAATGCTTCCTGCCCATTTTGATTTCAAAACGTAAACAGTTCATTTGTTTCTATGTTTTTCTATTTAACATAATTAGCTTCAAATGAAATCTTTTATAAGGGAATTAAGTCCATGTCAATATCCTCTCTGTGTGATGCTGTTAGTTCATTTCTTTCTGTCTTTACTGTATGTGTGTGCATACTGTGGGTTGCAATTTTTCCTTCTGTCAGCTAGCTTTGTCTGCAAAGTGTCTGTGTGCTCCTTGTGTGAGTCTGTTACCCTGTAAGGGTGTGTGCTTGTGCATACTTACAATCCACTCATCCAGTGCTATGGTGTAAGTGTTGAATAATGCAAAAAGCCTCAGACTCACCACTGAGCAGACACAATGGGGCCTCTCAGCTCAAGACATACCGTTCTGTATTGCGCTGTGCTGTGCTGTGCTGTGCTGTACATTAGTGCCTTCACAGACAGAATAATATTACTGTAGAGGTATGTGCTGATTATCCTGATAAGACTTTGTTTCAGCATATAGTGTGGCAGTTAAAATGTATGATACTGTGGTTTTCTCACAGAACACACAAGTATGTGGCATACAGAATTTCATAAAAGCATGCTGTAAATAACTACGTTCACAAATTGCAAGCAAACCCTGGCAATATGTTCTTACCCTTGGATCAAAAACACTCCTGTAAAGACTATCAGCTACTGGGGTGTTTGCTGTTGATCTCACAGAAGTCAAATCATATTCATTTTGTTGTGTTGTGAAGTATTTTTCATCCATTTCCTTTGTTGCAGAAGTATCAAATATTCAAAGGAAAGCTACCTGACAAGCTGCTGATGGAAGGAGGAAGCGATAGGCCAGTGCCCCACCCCACCCACCTCCTCCTCGCTGCGTGTTACAGAGCAGGTGAGACACATTACCAGCGGCAGCAGCTGCAGCCCTCTGCTCCACACATGTGGGCCAGGATATGAGCTAGCTTGAGCTCACCCACTGTCAACACTGGTCACTAACGTTAACACTCTCCTCTCTGAAGCACAAAACTGTACTGAGAAAAAAGAGACACAGTGAAATAAGCATAGATTATTATAAAATGTTTCTTTTTTAAATTTATATATATGCTTTGAACAGTATTGCTTAGCTTTGCAATGGTTCCCACTCTTTTTAGCTTAGGTACTCTTTTAAAGTAATGCAGTTTCAACCCCATGTCACAAGTTGCATGTGAGTTGTACATTTTCTATGAGTTGCAAGCAGTTTAACCAGAGAGGGATCACATGTTGTTTAATTTGAATCATTTTCAGATGTCTGAAGAGGTAAAACTTTAAAGGAATTTACCATTAAAAAGCAAAGATTAGAGATAACAGGGAGAAATGTAATTTCCTCATAAAGCATGTTACCGTAGCCTTTAAGTTATTTACTGGTCACATTTGAATAAAGAAATATCTTAGCTATACAATTTGTTTGGGATATGTGCACTTTGTTGGATCATTTGAATTCCCTCTCAGCTCGAGCCGTGAACCTGATGACCCAGTCGTCACATTGTGTCCTGAACACACAGACTCTGGTCACACCGGTGAGGTGTCCCAGAGGGAAGTGGCATGTGTATTTATGTTTCTGTAAATCATAACCTCTGTTTTGCATTCATTGAGGTGTGTCAAAGCGGATAACCTGCATGAATGGGGACCTGAAACGACTTGTTTTTAAAGACTGTCCTTTGGGGTGAGGTAGTAGGTTGTATAGTTTTAGGGTTATACCCTTCCTGTCAGATAACTATACAACTTACTGTCTTTCCTGAAGTGGCTGTAATGTCATCAGACACCATTGTTGGAGCTTTTGGATCTGGATCAACACTGGAATGTGCCCACTGACTGCTAAGAGCACAACTTGTTTGCAGCATTTGTTAGAGGTAGGTCATTTAGGATTGTAGCTGCTGAAGTACTTTTCCATCTTGTAATTTTCATGGTTGCACTTTAAGACTTCATGGTCAATAAAACATTTTGAACACTAATTTTATCATTAGTGTTATCTTTTACTGGCTGTCTTTGTACCAAACAAACAACAACAAAACAATTTTCCTCATATCTCATCAGACACTGTATATTGTGTAAGCCTTTACACAAACTTGCTCTCATCCAATTGCTATCCTCTTTCCATAGCTCTTATTTCTGTCTTTTTAAACATATTTTTTCTTATTTGATCATCACGGGATTATAGGATTTTTGTAAAAGTTCCATGGCTCTTACACTAAATTTGATTAGTTATGACTTTAAAAATTAAAACTTGACATCTGCCATTGTCATATTACTTGTAAGTTGCTTTATATATGAGGGGGGTTCATGTTCAAAATGTGGAAATGTATGGAAATGTTTTTATTTACTGTAAGAAAATCTGCAGTGTTTCTCAACCATAATGTTCTCCAGTACAAGTTACAACAAAACGTGTCAACCTGTGGGGCTTTTCTGATGTTCGAACGGGGTGAGGTAGTAGGTTGTGTGGTTTCGGGGTAGTGATTTTGCCCAATCAGGAGATAACTATACAACCTACTGCCTTCCCTGAAGGGCAGCAATACTTCACCATACAGACAACAGGAACATAGGTGGTCCCAGCCAATCATATCAGCAGAGAGGACCTGCAGGTAAAGTCTGTTCACTATGGGATTTGTCTTTAATTTGTTTATCTGCTTTTAACATTAATAAAAAAAATAAGATGATGAATCAGTTTGTCTTTGGCATTTTTTTGTTCTTTTATTTATTCTCACATCCAGTAAGTAAGTGTCAATTTAAATGTTTCAGACTCTGAGGCTATTTGCAGCTGAATGACTGCATTGGTGCCAAATGTTTTCCAAATCTTTGTCATACCTGTGATGACGTTTACATACGGTATATATTTCAGTAGTGCTTTCTCCCTTCTGGTGAAAGCCAAAACTTAACATAAGCTACCCAAACAACAGACTACTCATCACTAACAAATTCTAATAAATCTTTGGTTGGTTCTGATCAGTTTATCTTGTCTACTAGCCTGTGTTGCTGTATCGAACATATGGAGAGAAGAGCCACGGCACAATCACCTCCTGGCCTACGACATGATTCATATGACAACAGATGATGGTTACAGTATTCTCCCTCTCTGGCAAACAGCACACATAAACACACACACACATAAACACACAGATAATGAGGAGAGTGTCAACCGGTATCAGGCCAACTTGTACACAGACATGCCTCACTGTCTGAGACTGCAGCCCTGTATCTCATATCAATGTCAGTGTTGGGGTTGTCATTCGCAGTAAGAGCCCCCACTCACTCCTGTTTCTTCAGTCAACGGTCACATAACCAGTGGTCATCTTTGTGTCCGAGGTAACTTCTTATTCAAATGTATTTTATTATAAGTATGTCTGTACAGACACATAATTATACTGTACACACATTCCCTGCCTTGGTTTTGTACTTAACTTTGCATGTCATGGTTTCACACATTTCAGTCATACCAAATGTGCTGACACTTTCACTAAATGTCACACACAATGACACAATGAGAAGGATTATGTGACTGTACATTACTGGAGTAGCACAGCACACAGTGGTAACATTGCAGCGTGGGAAAAAATCCACCACGGTACTGTATCCCATGTATCTAGACCAGTGTGGGATGTATTTGTATTTGGGCTACACCCACTGTGTAGCTGTCCCCCGCCAGCCACCATATTGAATTGATTTGAGCCTTGGCCATGGTGGTAGAGCAAAGTGAGCTGAATACTAAGCCTAATGAGACAATGGCTCTGTGTGCATCATGTCTCTGGGGTTGCATCTCAAAAGGCCATCTTCCATCCTTCGTATCCTCCTGCCCCATTGCTTCCCCAAAAACATTGCAAAAGGCTTTGAGATATACCCAGGGATATTCTTTTCCCATGCAATAAGGAACTAATGAAAAGCTTTTGAGACTCTGAGTCAGAAACATATGAGTCAGAATTCAATAATATACAAAGTTGCCAGGAATTTGAAGAAGAACAACGCACAGCACTGCGTTTCTAAGCCTTCATATGATGTCATGGCTGTATAAATGGAATAGTGTTATTGATCGAATGTAAGTGGATAGAATTGAAGGCTCTGTGTGGGTAGGCCCCTTAAACAAACCATTGAGCACAGTGCATTTACTTAAATGAAGAAAAGCTAAGCCTGTATGTAAATAGATTCAGCCACATTAATCTGTGCCATGGTGATTATGAAATGTAATATTCAGTCTGAAATGTAGGACAAGGAAATGTAATAATTTGTGTCTGAAGCATATTCATATTTAGATTCTCTGCGCATAGAATTTCTTTGTGACATAATGAATCACCAATATAAATGCAATAACAGGCGTTACAAGGCCTCGCTCACCTATAGATGTGACAAAGGCTCCACCTAGTGGATGGTCGTTAATATTCTTCATGTACAGCATATTTGCCCCTTATTTATTATTCTCCACTGCACTCTTCGTCTCCATGCTTATACTAGGGCTGCCACAAAGGATTATTTTCAGTATCGATCATTTTCTTTCTTTCTTTTTCTTTGTTCTATAAAACAGTAAAAAATGTCCATCAAAATTACCTGAAAACCAAAGTGATGTCATCAAATGTCTTGTTTATTCCACCAACAGTCGAAAATCCAAAGATATTCAATTTGCTATAATTTAAGAACATGGGAGTAGCAAATTCTTACATCTGAGAACCTGGAAGTGACTGAAGTATGGCATGTCTGCTTAAAAAGTGATTTTTTTACAAAACAATTAATCGATAATCAAAATAGTTGGCAATTATTTTCTGTTTGTAATTAATTGACTAATTGTGTAGTTGACTAGTCATTGCAACTCTATATGTACCATTTATATATATATATAGAGAGAGAAAATATATATTTACATAGATAGATAGATAGATAGATAGATAGATAGATAGATAGATCATGAATCATGAAGTTACAGTGTGCTTAAAAACTGGATCAAAACTCTGAAGTCACCATCTGCAGTTTCTCAGCAGCAGGTGGCAGCAGAGGTCTCGCTGCTGTCAAAACTCAACATTAACCCATTTACTGTACGACAGTGGGTCATCATATTAACCCTTGACAAACCAAGATCATGCTAAAACACACCTCAAACATACTCTTTAAAAAGCTACAACTTTATATGTTACTGAAAACATAGACAATTACTTTTGTTGAAAATAGAAAATCAAGGCCATGCAGTTTAAATGTTTGATTTTACCCCTTTTGGCTGAATAGTACACTACACATTTACATTCATACTGTTACCAGTGGATAGCAGTAGCACACAAAATAACTATAAACACTAGTGTAATTCTTGTTCATTTCATATCAACCAAAAATATATATAGGTCTATGTTACTGTATTATTCAATTTGAAGAATCAATTTCTAAAACAGAACAAATCCATGAAGTTTGGCAGGACAGTGGAGCAGCACTAAGTCTTCCCCTAATATTCATTTCTAAGGATTAGTGCCATTCAATAACCATACATTTCTTTTTGCTTCTTCATAGTCTGTTTTATTACAGCTAGGTTCAGTTCAGGGACAGACATGTTGAAAGCAAATGGGGCAGCTGTCATTATAATATCTAGATGTGGAAATCTGTCTCCCCTTAATTGGGAAACCAGCTGTTGTCCAGACAGAATGTCTTGACCATAGGCTGCGGACTGTGCAGACTTTGTCTGCTCTCTTGAGTCATGTTGCAACGAGCTGTAGCTTCTGATTCTAATGTTTCTCCATGTCCTCCTCACATGGAGAAATCACAAGTGGCCATGGAGAAGTTTTGAAGCTGACATCTGTGTTTGCTTATGTTTCAGATTCATCTCTTTCAAAAAGAATTTGTATTGCCTGATTTATATTTACTGTAGAGGTGTACTGTGTTTCTCCCTGATTCTCTGGTAGCAGTTACGCGTAGCTCTACTACAGTAGTGTAATATAACTAAGTACATTTACACAAATATCCATCCAAAACTCTGCCATCCGCCTCCTCACCCACACCCATGACCACATCATCCCAAATTCCTCCAGAATCTCCACTGGCTCCCTGTTCCCCAAGGCATTCAGTACAAAAACCTCCTCCTCATCCACAAAGCCCTCCATAACCAGGCCCCTTCCTACTTCATAGACCTGCTTCGCCACCACAATCCCCCCTGAAACCTCTGCTCTTCCGACACCACTCAGGGACTCAGCACCGTACCTGGGGTGACAAAGTTTATAGCATCGCAGCCCCTCTCCCATACACATCCGTGACTGTACTGACCTGGACACATGTAGATCAATTATCAAAACCTTCCTCTTTAGATTAGCTTTAAAATGTATTATTATTGTTGTTGTTATTATTATTATTGTTATTAATGTTGTTGTTGTTATTATTAAATACTGTACAGATCCCTCTCCATGACAACAAAGCAATCTTCATCCACTAATGAAAATCATGGAATATGGTAGAAAGTTCCACAGAAGGCAAGTAAGTCTATCTTGACTTTGGATTGTTTTGTCAAGCTACTGTTTCCAAGGTCAAGAATGAACCTTCTGGTTTAGTACATAAAACCGCCTTGACCAACTACAACCTTAAAATGCTGCTCTCACACTAACGCATCAGTAATAAACAAGCAATATTGTAACACTCACAGGTTGTTTGTTCTATATAATGAGTATTCCTGCTTAAATTCTTGGAGTATTTCTGTAATGTGGTCTTGCTACTTTTACGGATCCTCCACTACACTACTGTATATATTTAGTCTAATGTTTCTTCATGTTCATGTCACATGGTGAAATTGTTAGAGATCAGACTGTAGACCACTCAGGGGCTCAGTGAAGTGAATCTAAGATGTATACTTTGTGATGTTTGAAACACATTGCACTGCAGTATACTAATTTCAATCACCAGGATTTAACATTAAGATCCTCACTCTGAGTCAAGAGGATGTACTACTGATAGGGTAGGTACATTCTCTTTTTGCCTAACTCTAATTCCATACAGAGCTTAACTAAGTGTGAGGTTTAAGGGCACTTTAGCAGGGTAGCAGACCTTTTTTATTCTCTCTTTGCAGTACATCTGAAGAGAGTCGTCTTCATGCAGTACGTACATTTACTGACGTACTGTACTTAAGTACAGTTTAATAAAACATTTAATCTGATGTGTTTTTGTTGTGTAATTTAATATTTTTAACTTCTAATTTACTGTTTAGAGAGAAATATTTCACTTTCTATGCAAAACAGAGGATGAGTTTATAAAATATGCATATTTTGCACATGTTATACAGTAAATTGGTTAAATTAGCTTCACCTCAACCAACTAAAAGTGCTGCTTACATAATAAGGCATCAGATAAGGCATAGGTAACATTTCAAAAGAGTAGTATTTCTTCCACTTAAGTTGAGGATCTGAATCCTTCTTCAACCACTGTATGTAAGTGCTGAGTATGCATGGAGGTCTTGAGGTCTTGTGATCCTAGAACTCATACAGAACAGCCAGTATCTGCTTCCAGGCCTTGAGCCAAGCTGTAGAGTGACGCCCACATTGCTTTGCTAAAGACGGGGAAAAAATGTGATGGGGAGCTGTTGGACAACAGGATGAGGAAACAAGAGAGCAGAGAGATGAAATTGGCAAACAGGGTCACACACTCAGCATCTGGCGTGAGTTGGGAAAACAGATCTGCTCCATTAATGGGCTGTTTTTTTGCAACAGCTT